CCCACAGGAAAGCCAAAGCTTGTGGTAAGGGAATCCAGCTTCTTCGGCTCAATTCCTTCCTGGAGGATTCTGAGGACTTCAGACATCATGGGTGCAAGGCACCTGGTGGTATGGAAGCCAGGTCCATCTTTCACCACAGTGATGACCTTCCCCTGCTTGAGCCCGACAGCTACCACTGAAGCAGTGGTGTCCTTAGACATTTTATCTGTTGTAATAATCTCCAGCAGCAGCATCTTGTCCACAGGAGAGAAGTAGTGCATGCCAATCACCTTCTCAGATCTTTTGCTGGCAGCAGTAATTTCATTGATCGGGAGAGCAGATGTGTTACTGGCAAAGACAGTGATCTGGAATCACTACCTCTACTTCTTTTAACACTCTGTGCTTAAGACTCAGGTCCTCAAAAACAGCTTCAATCACCATGTCAGCCTTTTCAAAACCCTGGTAATCAAGCTGCCTAGTCAAGTTGCTAAAAATGGAGTCCCTTTCAAATGATGTTAGAGCTTTCTTCTTCACTTTATCATTCAATCCTTTGAACACCTGCTGCTGTCTTCAGCCCAGCCCAGTTGGCATAGCATCTTTAAGTATGGTCTTCAGGCCCTTATCCACAGAGACCTGGGCTATGCCAGCTCCCATCAGCCCTGCATCAAGAATGGCTAGGTCCTTTACTTCTTTCTGCAGAGCTCCAAATTTATTCTTCTTACACAGGACCTGACTGTGATAGTCCCATCAACACCTTTGATTCTTTGGTCATTGCAAGCTCTCCAAATTTCTGAGATTCAGAGAGATAGCCAGCATCGTTCCCTTGCTCAATTCCAATCTTTACCACATCGATCATTTTCAGAGGTGCAGGATAAACGCCTTTGGTCTGTTTTCATACTTTTTCTTCCACCTTTTTGTAAACCTCAGGGCATATGATGTCAATTTTTTTACTAATTCCTTGTTTCTTTTTATAGAGATTTTCTTTTTTTTTTCCTAGAGATTTTCTTATCAGATAGTCCTTTGGCAAAATTAACTGCAACTTCTTCTAAGTATTCAATTGTCCATCCCTCTGGAGGTTTTAATCCTGGTCTCAGGAGTTCAACCAGATCCATTTTCTTTGCTCTGTCTGCAGTCAACATCATGTCAAAAGCAGAAGGCAGGCCCACCATTTTGGGCAGCCTTTGTGTGCCTCATGCTCCTGGTAAGATCTCCAGCAAGACTTCAGGGGCACCTAATACTGTTTTTCTATCTTTGGTTGCTATTCTATATTGGCAGGAAATGGCAAGCTCAAGTCCTCCTCCTAAACAGGCTCCACTGATGGCAGCCACAATAGGCTTTCTGGACTTCTCAAGTTTCTCAAACATTCTCTGTCCTTCCTGTGATATTTGTGTTATCTCTTCATGGGTCTTACAAGAAGCTAACATGTTGATGTCAGCACCTGCAATAAAGCAGCCTGGCTTCATAGAGATAAGGACAGCACTTCTGATTTGATCACTAGCCCAGATTTCATTCATTACTTCCACGAATTCTGTTTAGTTCTTTATTCAGTGTATTTACCTTTGAATTGGGCGAGTTAATTTGAACAACACCACATCCCCTTTAACTCCATAGTTAATATGGGTTCTAGATCACAGAGCAGAGGACCCTGTAAAGTTGCAGCATACATAACCTGGGCAGCGGAACATCCGGGAGGCGGTGGTGCGGCTGAGGCTGCCTATAGCTCAGGAGGGAACCATCTTGAGCTGAAGAGGACGAAAGTGTCAAGAAATTTAAATCTTATAAGTGTCCAAAGGAAAAATACTCAGGAGGCAAAGAAGGGCAACTAGTCTCAAGAGCTAGGAAGAAGATCAGAAAATAACTCCCTATAACTGAAAACAAGTAGGATCATAATAATGTACATGGAATTATCTATAAGAATCAATTTCATAGAACTACTTGACCCTGACAAGTCTTTGGTGCCAGATTCCAACACTTACCTAAAAATCTGCAGAGAATAGCCATATAACTGTAACTAATAAAAGATCAGAACTGTGGAAATTAACACAAGTCAGAAGGCAGAAGATTAGATGCTCTGGTGGCTAATAAAAAAAATAAGAAAAATGACAATTGAAGGACAAGTTTTTCTAGATGGCATACATTTGTTGCAAGTCCAGAGTACTAGAACTGATGACATAAATTTCAAAAGAAAGAAAGAAAAAAGAAAGAAAGAAAGAAAGAAAGAAAGAAAGAAAGAAAGAAAGAAAGAAAGAAAGAAAGATAGATCAAGAATAAAAATTATTTTAGGCCATTACATCTTGAAAGATAGATCTTTTTTAAAAAATCCAATTTTCTCTGATCAAAATCTATGTACACTTGGCAATCCTCTCATGAGTCATTTGCCCTCCTAATGTGTCCATTTTTCATGAAGTACCCTTCAGTGGGCTACCTAGTTCCCAAGACAGGTAGGTCTCTCTGGACAGAGATGTAATGAAGAACAAGGTCTAGTCCCCAGTCCCCCAGAAGTTTGGTCCATGTTACTCAATCCCCAGGAGCTCATTGCTCCTGGGTGAACTGGAAAACATCCTGTGTGCAAAAGGGAAGGGATGATAGTAAAACACAAATGAATACATTTGACAATTTTCACTGTGATTTTAGCATCCCAGAGCCTGTCATTTGTATAAGTGACTCAGGCTAAAGAGATATCCCAGTCATACTAAACACAGACATTGAGTATTCTGACTCTTGTACTTTTTAGCCTCAGTCATGGAGAGAAAATTCAGTGTTTTCTTAAAGAGCATGACATTGTTTTGTTAAAGTCTCTAAAACTGATTAGATCTCCATTCAGACCTTCCAAGTGCTGCATGCTACTCATTGCTAGCTCTGAGTATACAGACAATCTTTAAAATGTAATATGACACTCACCTAGGTCAAAAACCACCAAGATCAGAAAGGAAAAACGGGGCCATTTATTACTGCCCTTTGAAGTTTAAAGAAAAGAAAAAAGCAGTTAACACCAAGCCCTACCAATTATACATAGTTATCTACCTTACTGGGAAAGCAGAGAAACTTAAAATATTCAACTCCCAATATTTCATTCGTTTATTCAACTAATATTTGTTGAATACCGACTATGTGCCATTCACTGTGTATATAGTGTGCACTCTGTACACTGGAGACTAGCATTCAACTGATGAATGAACCAGTCAACATAAGACCATGACACTCACCACCCATCTCACATACCTGGCCAAGGCAAACTTACTTACTCTTTTTCTTTTCCTATGACTTCCTTACTCTTTGACTTTGTTACCATGACTTCCAGGTTAAAACTTAAAATTAAAATATAAAATATATCAGTTTAATTGAAAAAGAATTGTACAATCTTTGAAGTTCAAGAAGCCAATTTTCCTTTTTTTTTTAAGATTTTATTTATGAGAGACAGAGTGCATGTGGCATAGGGTTGGGGGCAGGGGAGACCAGGGGGAAGGGTAGAACCAGGCTTGCCACTGAGCATGGAGCCTTATGTGGAGTTCGATCTCAGGACCCTGAGATCATTACCTGAGCTGAAACCAAGAGTCAGAATCTTAACCCACTGAGCCACCCAGGCGCTCCTAGAGGTCAATTTGCAATTGCCCAGATTTCTTCCTAGTATGGGAGAGCAATAGACAACCTGCTGGGAACATAAGGAATAGGAGGGTTACATAAATCAGTTAGTCTCTTCATGTGCTGTGTCAACAGATGCTGAATAATTATCCACGAGGGCTGCTGCAGCACATTCATGCACTTGGTGTGAAGCAAGGTTAGGTTCCTAATTTTTCAATACATGACTTTGAAAAGAAGATGGACCCAATGATGTAAAAAAAAAATCCTCCACTCTAAATCTGTTCTGGCTCCTGCAGGAATGAAATGCAGAGTTCATGGAACCCAATGACAAAAGAACTCAAGCCAAGAAACTAAGATAGCAATTGGTTCAGGAGCTACAGAGCCTGAGGCCCCAACAAGCAAATTCACAATGACCCTCCGGTGACACTCAGGAGTCCAAGGTGCATGAGATCCCTCTGAACAGTAACCACCAAAGAATGGCACAATAGAAGTGTACTCATCCATGTAATAGAATACCATGGATTAATCTAAGAAAATAACAGAAGAATAATCAGTGCTATGGAAAAATATTTCCAGTTTATTACAACGTGAAAAATTTCATGATTTGAGCAATATTTTTAAAAGATTTTATTTATTTATTCATGAGAGAAACAGAGAGAGAGGCAGAGACATAGGCAGAAGGAGACTTGATCCCAGGACGCCAGGATCACTTCCTGAGCCAAAGGCAGACAACCACTGAGCCACCAAGGTGTCCCTGAACTACATTTTTTGGGGAAAATTTGACAGAGATTTTGGATGGGGGAGATTTTTACATTTAACTTCTATGGGAAAAATTCATGTATGTGTATTAAAAACCTACAGTGGAATACTACATATGTGAAGAAAGACATTGGAGGATTATACACCGGAACTTAGTCATTAGCCCAACATTAAAGATGATTATTATACTATTTAGCTTAATTTTCTGTGATAAACATGTATTTCTTTTGGAAGGGAAAAATTATAAAAAAGTGTAACAAAATTGAAGGGATTAGGATATAATTCAGAAATGAAAGAAATACTTTGAATATTTTAAAAGACGTATTTTATAAATTTTCAGTATAAGACAGATTTATTCTTTTTTAAAGATTTTCTTTTGTTAAGATTATTTATTTCTTTTACAGAGAGAGCAAGCACAGGCAGAGGGAGCAGCAGAGGGAGAGGGAGAAGCAGGTTCCCCGCTGAGCAAGGAGCCCAATGTGGGGCTGGATCTCAGGTCATGACCTGAGCCATAGGCAGCCACTTAACCAATGAGCCACTCAGATGCCCCAAATTTATACTTCTGAAGGAAAAAAATATTTAACTGAGTTTTTATAATTTCATCAGGATATGAAAACACTAGTAAGTCTATATTTTCACATATTTCACTGGGCAAGTAGAGTACATATCAGGTATGTTACCTTTTCAATTTTATCATAACATTCTTCCAAACTTTGCATCCTGTCTTGTATAACTGAACTAGCTTTTTTATACTCTGTCAACCACTGCTGATATTCTTCCTCAGTTAAATCTGTATAGGCAACACAGAGAGTTCTCAGCCCTGTAAGATAGAATGAAATTATAAACAGATCAAGCCACCAACAATCAGGGAGATCGGGGAAGAATACAGAAATCGAAAACAAAATCCAAAAGTATTTTAAAGGTCATGGGAACTCCTTCACATGGCCTTACCTGATCTGTCCCTGGCTACCTTGCTGATCTTATTTCCTCCTCTCCTCATTGCCTATGGTCCTATCCCTGCTGATCCTCTCACTTCTGGACACTTGAACTTGTTCCACCCTTGACCTGGAATACTCTCCCCAAGAGAGCCATGTGGTTCTCTTTCCCTTCCTTCAGTCTCTACCTAACTCACCCTATAGAGATAGCACCCCACACTCTGTTCCCCGGACCCTGAGTAATTTTTTTCCATAGCACTTACTACCCCCTGACATTATCTATTGGCTAATTCCTTCAGGGGATGAGCTGTCTATGTTTTGTTCACTTCTGTACTGGAACAGTACACAGAATTGTACTGTACTGTACACAGTACACTGCTTAGAACAGTGCACAGAATTCAATAAATAATCAGTAACTATTTGTTGAAGGAAGGAAAGAATGAATGTGGCTCTAGTTTTCCAATTTCAAAGGAAGCCACATAATTGTTAAAATAACAGAAAATTAATCTGGATCCCATTTTGCAAAGAAAAGATTTTAGAAATCATATGGTACTTTAATATTTTAGGCTGACTGACTCCTGCAAAACATTCAGATAGTTGAGGATCCCCTAGAAATTAACTCTCCACAGATAAGCTATAGAAGTTGTTATCCTGTTTTGAGCTCCATTATAATACAGTTCCTATATGCTTCTACCTGTTTTAACCTGCCTATATCTCACACATATTTTAAGATGGCAGCAAAAGGCCCAAAGTGTAACCTTGCAAAATATCGACACTTTCAGGCAAGACACACATAACTATAGGAAGCAGTAGTTTATAAACTAGAAGGACAAAGTGAGATACAGCTCAGGTATTATTAGCTTTACTTTTACATTAGCTTTTTTACTTTTACTTTACTATTACACCTCACTTCTTCAAAAGTTCTGTAAACCTTTTAGTGAGTATTGTTCTTATTCAAAACTCACTCATGGAATTTTATTTCTTGAGAGATAGATGACAAGTCAAAATCAGGAGGATAATAAGAGAATGGCAGGAAAACATCAACTGTCAGGTTTCTGAGTTATATAAACAAAGTAATTAACTTTGAAATATATAACACGTCATTTCCATTATGGGCCAAGTTCCTAGTACAACAAATAGAGATGACAGAGGTCTTTGAATACACTGCTTTTGGAGTAAAGGAAGAACTGCACAGTAAAAATGTATTTTTCAGTGTTTGCTCATAAACATAAAACACTGGTGGAGAGAAGAAGAAAGGAAAAATGATATCTCAACAGGGTTTGTTTGAAGAACTATTTATTTTTAAGCAGACAGAAGGCATTACAAAGTCACATATAGAAATGGGTTCCCACATATAGGCATGCATCAGTGGCATGCATTCAGGTTTAATTTCAATATTTAAGAACAGCATTTCAAAAGGAAACAAGATTCTGAACAATTGTCATTTACCTCCTTTGGCAAAATGTTCCAGATGGGTTAATGTCTCCTTCATAAAGAGAGAATCTTCTGAAAGTCTCTCATAAATCACTGTATCCTATCAAAAAAAAAAAAAATTCTTGTGACCAACATCTTACCTAAGCCTGAAAATCTAACTTCTAAATACTGTGTTATAATTTTATATTTATATCTAATACATGTGAAGGAACACGAGCAGCCCCACAGAAGGCATGATTCCAAAAATGATACATTACATACAGAGCAACAGAGATAACAGATTTCTCACTGAGACAATCAAAATAAGCCAGTGAAGCACAATCTCTAGAGAACTGAAAGAAAAAATTGTCAACCTAGCATCCTATATTGAGCAAAAATTTATTTCAAAATGAAGGTGAGAGAAAATAAAGATGAAATAAAAATCTTTTCAGACATGAACATATCACCAACAGATCCATGCTATACGATATGGTAAAGGGAATCTATCAGACAGGAGATTATAGTAAATGGAAATATGAGTCTGAAGAGCCCTGAAAAATGATAATGAGTAGTCTGTGTAGTGTGTGAATGAATGTGGCTCTCTCTATATGTGTATATATATATATATATAGATATAGATATAGATATAATATTTTTCTTATATATTTTATTTAAAATAAATTATTTATATTTTATATACTTATATAAACATATATATTTATATTTTATTTAATATAAATTTAATATTAAATATTAAAATATATATAATTGCTTGAACAGCGTGAAGTTGATAACATTTGTAAAATTAAAATGTCTGACGAGAATGCAAAGATGGGGAAGAGAGAGATTGAAGTTCAGAATTGTAATTCTTATATTACACATGAAATAATATATTATCACTTGAAAATAGAATGTAATAAATTGAAAATATAAGACCTAAAACAACCACTAAATTTTTTTTATAAAGGAAATAAATTGGAATTAAAAATACTCAAGTAATTATTGGAATAAAGAAAAAAAGAACTGGGACACATAGAAAATAAATGGCAAGATGATGTATTTAAACTAGCTGTATCCATAAGCACACAGGTAAATGGTCTAAATATGTAGTTAAAAGGGAGAGATTTCCAGGATAAGTATGAAGTGAATGAACCAACTACATGCCCTCTAGAAATCACACTTTAAATATACAGACACAAATGGATTAAAAAGAAAGAAAAAGATACTCCCTACCAACACGAATCAAAAGAAGCCTGGAATGGCTATATTACAACGACAATAGAGATTTCAGAGTAAAGAAAATTGCCAGGGATAAGGAAAATCATTTTGCAATGACAAAGGGGTTGATTTATCAAGAGGAATTAGCAATTCTGAATGTTTATGCATCTAATAACATCGTTTTAAAATGAAGATAAAACTAATTGAAGCAAATGCAATGAAGTAAAAACTAACAGAACTTCAAGATGAAAAACACAAATCAACAATGACAGTTGAGGGTTTCAATATCCCCCTTTCAATAATTGATAGAACAAGTAGACAAAAAATCATTAAGGATATGGAAGATTTGAATAACACTATCAATAAACTTGACTTAACTGATAGTTAATAAACTACTTTACCCCAAAACAGCAGAATACTCAGGTTTTTTAAGTGCATACAAAACATTTCCCATTAGATAGGTCACAGTCTGAGCCATAAAACAAGTTCCAACAAAATTAAAAGGAGTCAAGTCATACAAAGTATGTTCTGTAATAAAATGGAATTATGTCATAAGTCAATTAAAGGAATATTTCTGGAAAATTCCTAAATATTTGAAAACTGACCCACTTCAAAATAACTCATGAGTCAAAGAAGAAATCAAAAGAAAACTTAGAATATTAGAATATTTTGAAGTGACTGAAGATGAAAATACAGCACAAATCAAAATTTGTGGCATGCTACTAAAGCAATAATTTGGAGGATATTTATAGCACTAAACATTGGTATTAAAAATAAATCAAGTTTTGCCTTATGAAGCTAGAGAAAGAGGAGGAAATCAAACCACAAGTAAGCAAAGAATGGAAATAATAGAGAGTAGAAACAGATGAAACAGAAAACAGGGAAACATTCAGAAAAAATCAAATCTGAAAGCAATTTCTTCAGGAAGATCAATAAAACCAAATAACTGAAAAAATGAATAAATAAAACCAATAACTGTCTAGCTAGCCTGCCCTCATGTTCAGGTGGCTTTCTGGTAAATTTTAGCAAAGATTTTAAGAACAAATAATATCAATTCCACACACACTTTTCCAGAAAACTGAAATGCAAAGAATACTCCCCATTAATTTTACAGGGCTAGAAGTGAAGAAAGAATAAACAGTTTAATAAATGGTGCTGGAGGGCAGCCTGGGTGGCTCAGTGGTTTAGCGCTGCCTTCCGCCCGGGGCGTGATCCTGGAGACCCCGGATGGAGTCCCACGTCAGGCTCCATGAATGCAGTCTGTTTCTCCCTCTGCCTGTGTCTCTGCCTCTCTCTGTTTCTCATGAATAAGTAAATAAAATCTTTTAAAAATTAAAAAATGGGGGATCCCTGAGTGGCGCAGCAGTTTGGCGCCTGCCTTTGGCCCAGGGCGCGATACTGGAGACCCAGGATCGAATCCCACATCAGGATCCTGGTGCATGGAGCCTGCTTCTCCCTCTGCCTGTGTCTCTGCCTCTCTCTCTCTCTCTCTCTATCATAAATAAATAAAAATTAAAAATAAATAAATAAATAAATGGTGCTGGAAAATTAAATATTCATCTGTAAACATGAACTTATGTCTCATACTATATCCACAAATCATTCAAGTTGGTTTCCAGAGGTAAACATAAACCCTAAAACTATACAAAGGAGGAGAAAACAAGCAGAAATCTGTGTGACCTTTAATTAGGCAAAGATTTGTTAGATGGGTTGCTAAAAGCATGACCCATAAAGGAACAAACTGTTGAATTGGACTTCATCAAAATTACAAATGTCTGTTCTTCAAAGACACTGTTAAGAGAATGAAAAGATAAGCCACAGATATTTGCAGATCATGTATTTGATAAGGGACCTATATCCAAAAGTTAAAAAAGAATTCTCAAAACTCAATAAAAAGAAAAACAAACAGTTATAAAAATAGGGCCAAATATTTAAACAGACGTTTCACCAAAGAAAATAATTGGGTAATGTGCAGAAAAGAGTTATCATCATAGGTCAGAGAAGGCTATCCTTAGAAAGACCTACTTATAAGGTTGGCTCTTGGCTGGTGTCTAAGGAATTTGGCTTGTATTCAATTCTCTGAACAGATATGAACTTCCCATGTGAAGCCTGCACATGGATTCCTCCAGACTCTGCTTGTGACTTTTCCCTTATAATCTGGTTGTGTATCCTTGCTACATTACTGTAATACATCTTAACCATGCATATAATCATGCATCCTTTTAGAGATCCACTAAAAAGATATGGGTAGTCTTGGGAACCCCAGCACAGATAGAAAATAAGCACATGAAAAGATGCTCACTGTCATCAGTCATGGCATGGAAATGTAAATTAAATTCACAATGATATACACACCTATTAGAATGGCTAAAATTAAAGAGAATAACCATGTCAAGTGTTGGTGACAACTGCTGGTAGGAATGTGACCACAGTTTGGTGGTTTCTTAAAAGTTAAAATACACCTTCCATTGACCTAGCCATTTTACTGCTAGATATTTACCAAAGAGAAAGGAAACTATATGTTCATACAAGGACTTGTACACAAATGTTTATAGGAACATTGTTTGTAGTAGACAAAACTGCAAACAAAAAGTCCATTAACAGGTGATGGATGAACAAACTGCTATATCCACACAATGGAATACCACTCAGCAAAATGAAGAAATGAACTACAATGTTTATGAATTTTAAAGTAATTATGAGTAGAAGAAGCCAGAGAAAAAGCCATACAACCTATATGACTTTATATAAAATTTAGTAAATGCAAATAAATGTATAGTGACAAAAAGCAGATTGGTGTCAAAACTTACCAAATTGTACACTTTAAATATGTGCAGTCTATTTTATGTCCCTTTTGCCTGAATAAAGCTGTTTTTCTTTTAAGTACTTATGTCTGTGAACATATACACAAGTCTTAAAAAAAAGAAAAAAGGATTTATAGAGGTAAAGCCATTTCCTGAGATTCACCAAATCTAAGCACTTTGGGCTTGAAACTGGGATCAAAATTCCTGTTTTAAACCCTTAGCATCAACAAGTTAATCATTAGTTTTCCACAAAGCAACTTAATAACAAATATTTCACTAACATTAAAGCTTAATAAACACTTTGGTGTGGGGGAAGCCTGGGTGGCTCAGCGGTTTAGCACCGCAATCAGCCCAGGGCCTGATCCTGGAGACCCGGGATCCAGTCCCACGACGGGCTCCCTGCCTCCCTGCCTGTTTCTCCCCTCTGCCTGTGTCTCTTCCTCTCTCTGTATCTCATGAATAAATAAATAAAATCTTAAAAAAAAATACTCTGGTGTGAACCACCATAAATTTCAATGCACTTGACTCTTGGGGAAGCTTTGAGGCTACTCTATTTCACTCTTGGATGATGCTGTCAACAACCAGTGGCAACAGCAGACACAAAGTAAAAACATTTTAAAATATTCTGAAGTCATAAAAGGCTTCCTACAAGTTGTTGAAACAGTGAGAAGGAGTTAATATGAATAATGAATCCCTATACTTACAGCCCCTTTACAGTAGAGCCGGAGATTTCCTGTAGGAGTTCGCACAATTACAGACATCCTTTTTCTATTACTAAAACAATATGAAATGTATTATTAACTTCTATGTTCCTCAGTACATGGTGCTCACACACACATTCAAAATCAAAGTTACAAGAATTCTCAAAGTCCTCAGCTGACCATTAGGGAAAAGGCCAATATGTTTCTTGCTAGTCTCCGTTTCTTAAACTACTTTCTACCTATTTTCTACCTACTTTCTCAAACTGAGATTCTAATACAAATGTCCACCTTCTACTACTATTTCCCAGTTACTCTCCTTTTCCTCCAGGGAAATGTATTGGCACAATACATTTGTCTCTATCAGGTAGACCTTCCTGTTCTCACCCTGCTGCATAGAGATATTAACCTGCTGGCTTGTTACTTTTATGTATAGTTATTTTTATGTATAGTTCTGTCTCAAAGTCCTTTGGATTTTTTTCATTTTGTTCTTGTTTTTTTTTCTGATGGTAGAACCTAAACTCATGGATTTTATTCCTGATTTAGCAGGCCAGATAGGCTTGAAGATCTACCCTCTCCACCTTACCCCCCACACTGCCAAAGTAAACTGGTCAAAATTGGTTGTTGTTTTTTTTCCTTCTTCCTCATCTTGTCATTCCCTGACCATCACCCTGGATGGCCTATAACCACTTTTCAAGAGACCCAAACAAACTACCAGCAACTCAGCACTTTCTCAGGTATTTATCATATCTCGCGACACAATCCAAGGAGGGTTCCAGTGAGTAGTTCTATACCTGAACATATGAGCTAGAAAGTACTTGTCAAAAAGATAGGGACTAGCAATTGCTTTAACTACTTAGCTGTCAGAATACTACTAAAGACAACTGAGTCATTTAAGTGTCACCTAGCCAGAAGCTTATCTTTTAAGGACAGGAAATGAGTGCTCCAATAATAGTGATAATCAGATATTAAGTAAGGGGAAAGCTAGAATGAACATCAAAATACATTTTCTTAAAATAAAGTTTTTAGAAAAACCTTTCCTAGAGAGAGGAAAAAAATGGTAACAACTTTTCTGAGATTTAGAGCTTTTTTTAAAAAGATGTCATTGGCTAACAAGCCTTTAAAAAATATGATTTTAAAAAATCATCTGGTCTTGAAAAGAATGAATTATTCTTTTTCTAATTTTCTAGAATTTCCTTTTCTAATTTTTCAGATTCCACATTAGAAATGCTCAGATAGTCTAAGCGATAAGACTTCCTGAGTATTCAAAACAGTACAAAGAAAATAAAATCATCGCCAATATCCTCACAATAGGCTTCGGGGATCAGGCCATAGTGGCTGAACCAGGAGGCCTTCTGAAGTCTAAGGGAAAAGAAGGATCTGGACATACATTGTTTCCTTTGGGGGAAAAAATGAATTAATACACTGTCTATTTTTAAAGAAATAGTTTTGGGTTTATTGGTTAAAATAATGTTTACTATTCATCCATTCATCAAATGTTTATCAAGCACTTACTAGATACCAGATTCCATAGAAGGTGACTCTGGCCCTCCTGGAACTTAGGATCTAGTTGGCAACATAGTCAATAAGTAGTAACCCAGATGTAAAATCTCAAGTGTGACTCTGACAAGTGCTAGGAAGGAGAGGCGTGGGAACCCCTCTCAGCTACAAAAAGGGATTTGGCCTAATGATGAGCGAGCACCACGCTCAGATAAAGGGTGGAGGAAAGCTAACTAGAATTTTTGTGATTCTGCATTCAAGTTTTGATTTGCATTATCAAATCTCAACTGAAGAGTCACAGAAGGAACCCTGGAGGATATGTGAACAGAATGAAAAGGTATCTTACCTAGAAAATTCCAGAATATTAAGAATTTCAAATGTGAAGTTTTCTCCCATCTACAGGAAGATAAGACAACGTCTTCTTACCCAAGGAAAAAACTACTCATCCTGCAAAATAGTTCACTCTCCCAGTCAGAAACAAATTTTACCCTACAACTACACATCTTTTTCAAAATAGAAATTTTCTTGCAAACCTGATGAGATAATGGTGCCCTCTTCTGGCAAGAACATTGTTTGCAAACTGTGGAATATGCAAAGATGCTTCTCACAGTACAAATTTAAAACTAAAACACTCTTTTCAACATTTTATGAACTCTAATGTTGCAAGGGCATATGGAGTCAATGAAACAGTCAACAGACAGAAATTGGAAAATAAATCTTTTCATAAAATCGCACCAATCAAAAAAAATCCTTAACGCTTAGAGAATTTGAAGAGGTGTACATAAAGAGATGACATGCTATAAAACGTTATATCAATAAAACTTGCATTCCTTTCTAAATTGTTCCAGCTACAGCCTCTTGACTTCCTATAGCCAGGATCAATTCACTAATAAGGTAATGTAGAATTTCAAATAATTTGAGAGTTCTCCATGTGGCATATACTATGGATATAAAGATGAATAATAGTGAAAGGGAATATAAGGGAAGGGAGAAGAAATGTGTGGGAAATATCAGAAAGGGAGACAGAACATGAAAGACTCCTAACTCTGGGAAACGAACTAGGGGTGGTGGAAGGGGAGGAGGGCGAGGGATGGGGGTGAATGGGTGATGGGCACTGAGGGGGGCACTTGACGGGATGAGCACTGGGTGTTATTCTGTATGTTAGTAAATTGAACACCAATAAAAAATAAATTTATTAAAAAAACCCTTAAAAAAGATGAATCAATCAGTCCATTCTGCTCAGGATGACTGTCTAGTAAGCATCCTTAATGACTGCATTATTACTAGAAAAAATTAGTATGTTGGGCATCATGTTTACATTCTTCACTTCTTCCCCATAATATCAAAAGCTGTGGTAAATAGTCATCAAGACAAAGCAAGAAAAATATATACATAATATACATTACATTACATGAAATGAAAAATTCAACATAATAACAACTCACCAAAAAATAGCTTGAAAATTTTTAATTTTTCATTAACAATAGTATCTCTCTTGATGATCTGTTGATTGTAATTCTTTGGAATAGTTCACTTTTATTGAGTACTTTCTCTGCTCAAAGCACTAATTCTGATTACTTTACATATATTAACTCCTTTAATCCTCACACAAACCCTATGACATGCATGATAAGAAAACTGGGGCAAGCAGAGAAGTTAAGGAATATGCCTGAGAACAATGGTTGAGAAGGTGGGGGAATCCCAGGTACTGTGATTCTAGAGCTCCCCCATTCAACTACTCTATTTGTGTCTCTCTGAAAGGGGTGTGTAAACCATGAGAAAGTGTTTAAGATGCTACTCACAGCTTCTATGGTGACAGAGGTTGGTGTTCTTGTAGTAAAAACAAAACCAAGTTTCTTCACCCATTTCACTAAAGCTGCTTCATCTGTGAATAAAAAGTCTGTATTAATGGAGATTGACCAAATACATTAATACCAAATTTAATTTAAAACAGATCTCCATTCTCCAGCACTAAAATACCATGACTTTTTTTTTAATTTAGCTTTTTTTTTTTTTTAATCCCAATGCCCTTATCTAGGGACCAGAAAATATTCATGAAAGAGGAAATTTGGCTAATAGGCCTCTTTCATCAGGAATAAGGTATATTTACCAGTTTAAAATCCTTTCTTAGTACTCATTATGATTTTGTTCTATTAGCCATTAATAGAATCATCACAAGATGTTGCAATGCCTTAAACTTACTCCTGCCTAGTGACTGGTTTTAACTAAATGTTCTATTGAACCCCAGCTCAGAGAGTGCCCCTCACCAGCCTCCTTATGGCAGCCTTTGAGGGTATAGGAAGCAGGAGCCCCAGAGCTACAGAGCAGCTCAAAACTGCACAGTACCATGAATAGCCCTGACCCATGAGAACTCTAGGGAAGGAGCAACACGGAAACAATCCAGGGATCAGGGGCAGCATCACCTCTTCTCAGGGTGCATCACAGGCCGGGTGCTTTAGGAAAACACAGTACCTACCTACCTGGGGAGGAAGCCTGGTAGATTATTTTATCTTCATCTCTCTCAGGGACAACAGTGTGGCACACGCATAATAGGGTAAGAAATTCCTTTATATAATCTTTTGTGGGCTACAAAAAAGGCACAAAGCTAATGAGTCTCTGCCAACACCAGTGACATAAGTGTTATATATAGTCTGCGATTAGTATCAAACAGTGGGTTTTCACTTCAGGTACCCACAGAATCTGGCAATGACTAAAAACCATGTCATGCATTCAAAATGTTTGTAGAGTGGCCACCAAGGCAGGGACAGTGCAGGGCTGGGGAGGCCTCAGTGAGTAAGATGACCCTGCTCTCTTGGAGCCTCTGTGCTCACTGGGGCAATGGGTTTTCTCAAAACTGAAAGAAACAAAGAGGGCTTGTCACAGAGAAAAGAGGGGCATATTTGAGGTAGGTGATCAGGAAAACAAAAAACAACACATCGAAGAGATCATATTTAACTTCAGACCTAAATGGAAAGGTAGTTGGCAGTGTTCGTTGACATGTGACTGTGGCACACACAGTCAAAGGGAAGAGCACTTCAAAGGCCCCAAGGCAAGAAGCTGAGTCATGGGTTTGTGAGCTTCAAGACAAGTGTGACTCCAACATCTTGAGCAAAGGAACAATGACACAGAATGAGGTTGGAGAGAAAGTCACAGTAATGAGATAGGATTTAATCTGTAGGGGGTGGGGGTGCCAGTTCTCTGAAGGTTTTTAAGCAAAGGGAGGAAATGTACACCTTTATGTTTTAAAAGATCACTTCTATTTTTGAGAAGATTTCAAATCACGTGGATAAGTATCTTAAAATCGGTTAAGTGAAGATCTTGGTGACATATAATAGTACCCAATAGCTTGGAAACATTTAGAGACTTTCTTACAGAGATTGCTACATGGTAAAATAAAATGTTCTTGTACAATGTTTGGATTCATTCGCACTAAGTTTAGCAACACACGCCCCCCCCCCATGATAGCAGTACAAAATCTGATGTTTATGATATTAACATCAAAAAAAAATTTCAAGACCCCTTCCTGGCTCATAAAATTATACCTTATGATAAACCATATAGATGTGTTAAAGTTGTGTAGCATTACCATTACCGTGTCAACTTTGAGTGAAAATAGCAGACTTACATGACCATTCTCAAAGTTCTGCAGTAATGTTGGGTCATTAAATTCGTGGGACTCTGTGAGGACAGAGGGTGACAGACTGAGGAAGAACAGAGAAGATTTGCTGTAAATAAAAGTTCCTGATGGTACCAGTCAGCAATCACATGGATCTTAAGCAAACACACAGCCCCTTGTCCTGTTTTCAGTAAGTTACACTACACAGTACATAGAGCTACTGCTGACCCTTCAACAACATGGGTAGGAACTGGGTGGGTCCCCTAATACAGATTTTTCTTGTACAGTAAATGTATTTTGTCTTCTTTGTAATTGTCTTAATGACATTTCCTTTTCTCTAGCTTTATTGTAAGAGCACAGTATAATATATATATATATATATATATATATACACACACACACACACACAAAATATGTGTTAATCAACTGTTTATATTATAATCAGTAAGGCTTCTGGTCCAACAGTAGTAGCCTCTTAGTAGTTAATTGTGGAGTTAAAAGCTATACATAGATTTTTCAACTTCATGGGAAAAGTCAGTACCCCTAACCTGTGTGTTATTCAGGGGTGAACTGTATAATAAATATTTTAAATTCTGTCCAATTATAATCCTCTCAGGCCTCAAGTTGCAAAATGGCACTAGAAAATGCCTAAATTAAAAAAAGAAAATGTCTAAATGTTTAAATTGAATATCATGTAGTTTAAGGCACAGAGTTTAAGACAGAGTAACTAAAAAATCAATAAATCAAAGTCTGAATTTTGGGTTCTTTGAATAACACATGGGGAGATTTCTGGGAACTGCCTTTGGAGGTCTAGGACAAGGGACAGCTGTGTTATACATCAGAACACTAGTATTGATTTTTTTAAAAAGTCCATTGTGGGGGGGAAGGAACATGGGCAAAGTAGAAAAGAATGTTGTCTAGTTACCTTAATTTTTTTATATTGATATCACTTTTGTCTGACTGATTCCTGAGGAAAAATGAAAGAGGAAATATAATGGTTTTAAGACTGTAGCTATAAAATGCCTTAGGGATCCTAGCCACATATAAAAGCAGATATAAGCCATATATTTTTAACAACTGCAAATTTTCATTTAGGTTTAAGTTTTAATCTCATTCAGTTATAGCTATGTTATTAGAAATTCATATAAGTTTTGAAGTAAATAAAGGGTAATTAATTTGTTAAGAAAAAAAATGAGAATTTTCAACAGAGCATGGCAATAAAAACACTTACCCATATATTATACCTGCAATGGAACATTTCTTAAATTTCATAATATTGCAAGTAAGGGTTCCTGTTTTATCAGAAAATAAGTATTTTACCTAAATAAAGAAAAAATAAACATGATAAATAACATAAATATAAAATATATTTAGAGAGCAAAGACAAAATTAAGTTCTTTCTTGAAATCCTCAAAATATTTGAACTTTAAGGAAACAAGAAGTTCAATCTATAAGAATTCTACCTTTAATAATTACACTTCTTTTAGAGATTCTATTCTCTGTTTTATACTACAGGTGAAATTCTATGTTAATATGCAAAGTAAATTTCAAGCCATCAAACCTAAGAAAATCAGAAGTTCAAGTTCATTTTTTTTTGCCACAAGAAATTTCATCAAATGTCTCTTGAAAAAATTAAGATTTATAGACAGACAGATACACACATCCACACCCCAAAACCAAAGACACCATAAGAAAAAAATTACAAGCCAATATCCCTGATGAACATAGATGCAAAAATACTTGACGAAATATTAGCCAATCAAATTCAACAGTACATTGAAAGGGTCACACAACATAATCAAGTGGAATTCATTCCAGGGATACAAGAACAGTTCAATAAATCAGTCAATGGGATATACTACATTAACAAAATAAAGAATATAAATCATATGACCATCTCAATAGGCACAGAAAAAGCACTTCACAATATTCAACATCCATTTGTGATAAAAACTCACAATGAAGTGAGGCTAAGGGAAACAAACCTCAGCATAATAAAGGCCAGTATAACAAGCTTGCAGCTAACACTAAAGGTCAATGGGGAAAAGCTGAAAGCTTTTGCTCTATGATTAGAAACAAGAAAGATCATCTACTCTCACCACTTTGTTCAACATTGGAAGTCCTGTCCAGAGCAATTAGGCAAGAAATTTAATTTCTTCCAAATTAAAAAGGCATCCAAATTTAAAAGGAAGAAGTAAAACTGTCACTATCTACAGGTGACATTCTACATATAGAAACTTAAAGAGGGCAGCCTGGATGGCTCCACGATTTAGCAGCGCCTTCAGCCCAGAGCGTGATTCTGGAGACTCGGGATCAAGTCCCATGTTGGGCTCCCTGCATGGAGCCTGCTTCTCCCTCTGCCTGTGTCTCTGCCTCTCTCTCTGTGTGTGTCTCTTATGAATAAATAAATAAAATCTTAAAAAAAAGAAAATCTTAAAGATTGCAACAAAACCCCATTTGAATTAATGGATTCAATAAAGTTGCAGGGGGCAGTCCCGGTGGCCTAGCGATTTAGCACCACCTTCAGCCCGGGGTGTGATCCTGGAGACCCGGGATCAAGTCCCACATCAGGCTCCCTACATGGCAGCTGCTTCTCCCTCTGCTTGTGTCTCTGCCTCTCTCTCTCTGTGTCTGTCATGAATAAATAAATAAAATCTTTAAAAAAATAATAAAGTTGCAGGATATAAAGTCAACATACAGAAATCTATTGTATTTTGTTCTCTTTTTTAAAAATTAGTTATGAATTTTTTTAAATAGACTTTTTTATAGCAGTTTTAGGTTCATACTAAAATTAAGTAGAAAATACAGAGTTATCTTCTGTACCCACACATGCACAGCCTCCCTTACTATTGATATCCTGCCCCAGAGTGGTACATCTGTTATAATGGATGAACTTACACTGCCTTATCATTATTACTGAAATCGATAGTTTACATTATGGTTAACTCTATTTTTATTTCAATTTTTACTTTTATTTATTTTTCAAATTTTATTTAAATTCTAGTCAGTCAACATATAGCATAATGCTGCATTTCTATACATTAATACATTCTGTTGCATGAACTACCAGAAAAAGAGAAATTAACAATTTCATTGACAGTTACATCAAAAAGAACAAAAAACCTAAGAATAAATTTAATCAAGGAAATGAAAGACCTATACACTGATGAGAGAAAGTGAGAAAGACACAAATAAATGGAAAGATATTCCACATTCATGCATTGGAGGAATTAACATTGTTAAAATATCCATACTACCCAAAGCAAACTACAGATTCAATGTAATCCCTATCAAGATTCCAATGGTATTTTTCACAGATTTAGAACAAAATGTATATGGAATCATGAAAGACCCCAAATAACCAAGGCAGTCTTGAGAAAGAAGAACTAAGCTGGAGGCATCATGCTTCTTAATTTCAAACTACATTACAAAACTATAGAAATCCAAATGTATGCTATTGGCATGAGAACAGACACATAGATCAATGGAACACAATAAAGAACTCAGAAATAAGCAATGCACCTCTTATCAATTTAGAACAAAGGAGCCAAAAATAAATGATAGGGACAGTACAGTTTCTTCAATAAATGGTTTTCAATAAATAAATGACAGTCTCTTCAATAAACTAGGCAACCATATGCAAAAGAATAAAACTGGACAACTTTCTTACACCATATACAAATTAACTCAAAATTGATGAAAGACTTGAACAGAAGAACCTGAAACCATGAAACTAGAAGAAAACACAGGTAATAGCTCTTTGACATCACTATTGGTGATGATGTCTTGGATTTGACACTAAAAACTAAGGCAACATGGAGCGCCTAGGTGACTCAGTTGGTTAAGCAACTGCCTTCAGCTCAGGTCATGATCCTAGGTTTCTGGAATTGAGCCCCACACCTTGTGCTCCCTGCTCAGCTAGGAGCCCATTTTTTCCCTCTTCCTCAGCCTCTACCTCTCCCCCCAGTTCGTGTACTCTCTCTTGCTCTGCTCTCTCTCTCAAATAAGTAAATAAAATCTTTAATAAATAAAAAGCTTCTGCAAAGCAAACCACCTACAAAATGACAAGGTAACACAATGAATGGAAAAAAAATATTTGCAAATCATATATTTGATGAGGGGGGTTAATATTCAAAATATATGAAGAACTTCTACAACTCCACTACAAAATAACAATCCAATTTAAAAAATAAGAGAACGTCAATAGACATTTTTCCAAAGAAGACATACAAATAGCCAACAGACACATTAAAAGAATGCTCAGCATCACTAATCATCAGGGAAATGCAAATCAGAACAGATAACCATCAGAACCATAATGAGACATCACTTCACACCTATTAGAATGGTTATTAACCAAAAGACAAAAAATAACAAGGAGCACCTGGGTGGCTCATTCAGTTAAGCATCTGTCTTCAGCTCAGGTCATGATCCCAGAGTCTCAGCATGGAGCCTGCTTGTCCTTCTCTCTCTGCACCACCCCTACCTCACTTCTGCTCGCTCTCTCTCTCTCTCTCAAATAAATAAATACAATCTTAAAAAAAAAAGACAAAAAATAACAAGTGTTGGCAACGATGTGGAGAAAAAAAGAACACTTATATACTGTTGGTGGGAATGTAAATTGGGGCAACCACCATGGAAAACAGCTTGACTCCTCAAAAAATTAAAAATAGAACTACCATATGATCCAGCAATTCCACTTCTAGGTATTTATCGGAAGAAAATTAAAACACTAACCCAAAAAGATATATGTACCCTCATGTTCATGGCAGCATATGTACAATAGCAAGATGTCTGTCGATGGATGAATGGATAAAGAAAATGGTATATATATAATGATACATAATTATATACACACATACCCACTTACACAAAAATTCAGCCATGAGAAAAAAAAGAAATCTTGCCATTTGTATAACAGAAAAAAGACTTTGAGGGCATTTTGCTACCTGAAATAAATCAGACAAAGAAAGACAAATACTACATGTGTGATCTGAAAAAGAAAAATAACTAAACTCATAATTACAGAGAACAAATTGGTAGTTATCACAGGCAAGGAGTGGTAGATAAGCAAAATGGGTGAGGGGGGGTCAAAAGGTACAAATTTCCAGTTATAAAATATGTAAATCCTGAGGATCTAATGTATAGCATGTTGATTATAGTTAAAAATACTATATTGCATGTTCAAAAAAATACTATATTGCATATTCAAAAGTTCTCATCACTAGAACTCTGTAAATAATGTATGGTGATGGATGTTAATCAGATGTATCATGATGGTCATTTTCCAATATTTATAAATATCAAACCATTACATTGTTTTCTTTTGTCTTCTTCAAAACATTATGTTGTATACCTGAAACTAATATAATCATAAATGTCAATTATACCTCAATAAAAAAGGAAAAGAGGCAGTGTTAAAGCATTTTTTATTATTGTAGAAAAATGTACTTGGATAGAATTTACCATTTTAGCCATTTTTTAAGTGTTATTGAGCACATTCACATACAATCATCACCACCATGCATCTCCAGAACTTTTTCATCATCCCAAATTGAAACCTCCTACCAACTCAACAATACAGTAACTCTCCATTCTCTCTTGTCCCCATAGCCCCAGGTAACCACTATACTGCTTCCTGACTCTATAAGTCTATTTCAGGTACATATAAGTGGAATCATATACTGTTTGTCCTTTTGTGTCTGGCATGTTTCATTTAGTGCGATAGGCACAGTCTATCTATGTTGTAGCATGTTTCTGAATTTCATTCATTTTCAGGGCTGAATAATATTCTATTGGTATGTATTTAACATATTTTGTTTACTCATTTATCTATTGATGGACATTTTGGTTGTTTCCACCTTTTAGCTATTGTGAATAATGCTGCTAAGAACGTTTGTGTACAATAGCTGTTTGAGTCCCTACTTTTAATTCTTTCATGAAAATATCCAAAAGTAGAATTGTTGTAACATGTGGAGTCCTTGGTTTAATTTTTTGAGGTTTCACCATACTGTTTTCCACAGTGACTGCATCATTCTACATTTTCACCAGTTTTACACAAGGGTTCTGCTTTTTCCATCTCCTCTTGAATACTTTTTGTTCTCTGTTGTTATTATTGTTTTATAGTAGCCATCCTATTGGGCATGAAGTGGTGTCTCAGAGTGGTTTTCATTTGCATTTCCCAAAAGATTAGTGATGTTGACCACCTTTTCATGTGCTTATTGTCCATTTACATATATTCTTTAGAGAAATGTCTTTTAAAATCCCTTGCCAATTCTTGAATTAGGTTATTTGTGGTTTTGCTGTTGAATTGTAGGTGATTTTAAATATATTCTGAATATTAAACTCTATTGTCCTGTTTTCAATATCACTGATTTCTGCTCTTACCTTTGTATATTACCTACATACACAACATAATTAATTTTTAAAGCTTGAGTTCCACAGGCAGTTTTATTATATTTAATTACTACCCTAAAAAGGCTAGAGTCAACTGACTAGGCAAGGTGGATAAAGTGATCTTTTCCCAACTGTCAACTGAAATCATATGTTCTAAAGAATTAGTAAATAATCAGATTTTCATGAGCAGAAAAGTTGCTAGAAAGCTGATGGTTCCATCCTCCTTCAACTTTAGTTGTCCAAGGTAAAAAGGCTGTTCATGTTCTCAGATCAATTATTTCCAGGTGCCAGAAACCTTCTAAAATAAATATTTCCTGAAAACTCACTATTCAAATGATACTACACAATGTAATCATAAGTTAGAAATCATATATGCAAATTACTGGTTATAATTACTAGCATTAATTAAACCCCTTCTTCATACCAGGTACTGTGCTGAGTGTATCACAAATACATTATGTCATTAAATCCTCCAGGAGCATGGCCACCAGTGCCAGGTTCCCAAGCTCCTGTGACTCCTGAAAGCTAACTGAAAATTTGAGAGCCAACTGAAGGCTTCCCTGCCTGCCTCTCCAGCTCCTCTATTCTTTCATAAGTACATGAATAACCTGCATTACTTCCATTCTACTTGCAACCCATGTTGCATTATCAATATTTTTAACAAACCACACTTTTGAAGCTCCATATGGATATCATATTAACTATAGCCTATGGCTGAATTCAGCACTTTGACCTTGCACATGCTCTTCCTAGATCCACTTTCTTCAAAGTTCTTGTCACATACTCAGTCCCTGAAGAGACCCTCACCTGCCCAAGCTCTTCATTAAGGTTGGATGTTCTAGCAATGGCATAGATATTATTTTCTTTGTAATGCATATCTTCATCCTGCAAGAAATGAAACAAAATAGCCAAGCCACAGTCAGAACAAGGCTCAAAATTTCTTCAGGTCGACTGTACTACCACTGGTTTTCTGACATGACTGACATAAGAAAATTCAAAATGGCAAGTCTAGAATACCTAGAGAGTCTTGGGTGCTAGTTTCTCATATACACTGGCAGAGCTAATTCAGAGAGACAATGCTATATAAAAACAAATGTTAGTATGTTGTTGGTTTGGTATTAGAAGACTTGGCTTCCAAATCCTGGCTCTAACTCAGATACTCTATGGGATCCTGAGTGTGATTTGCAGCTACTACATCTACAAAATCAGAGCAATAGCACAGATCTCATAGCACTACTGTGAAAATTGAATGAGAATAGACTTAAAAGCACTCTGTCTCATTTTGTGGTTGTTAAAAATAACAGTATCCTTCAAGTGATGGTAGTTCATTGACATATGGAGATCATTTTAATGAGACATCTAGCAAAAATTTTATTTCCAGGAAAAGTCTTTTAAAATATAACAAAATTGCAAACATACATTCAAATTGGAAAATTCATTCAGTCACATGTTACTAAGTATTAAGTGAATGCATGGTTTTCACTTAAGAAATCTTTTCCTTAATTTGAAATGATTCTGGAATAGCTGTTTCTGTCACTCTTGCCAAGATAAATAAATCTATTATAAGTCTACTGGACCCTCCTCCTCTAGAGTATCTTAAATTTTAAGGAGCTATCTCTTTACAGTTGCTCTAAGCCACTAGCTCTTAAATCTTTCCTCTCAGCTAGAAAAAAATATATTTTAAAAAATTGTGTCTTCAAGAGTGACTGAGAGAGGTACAAGGCATGGCTGAGTTAGGCTGACACCAATGTTTGGCTTTCCTGTCAAAAGCACAACTGTCCCATGTACTAGCATCGTGGTAAGATTATACTGATTTTTAAAACCGAAGCCACAGACCAAGAGAGAACTGTTTGTTAAACTTTCCGATTTCAATACTCACCCAGTTTATAAACATGGCCTGAACATATTTCACAATTTCCAGAGTGACCAGTAGACTAATGGGAATGAGATTGTGGTATAGGATGATGAACACCAATAAGTCAAACCCTAAGCTGTGGGAGCTGTAATCTGTGGAAGAAGATCAGAGAAAACATGTCACAGCTTCAGGCAATATCTTTATTCATCTTTGTTTGCATTATTACTTTCTAAAATTGTGAAAATTTCTCCATGAAAATTATTAGAAGCGTAATTAAATGGATACATCAAAATGGTTTTTAAAGTATCAGTTAAGCACCAACTATGTAAAGGATGTTTGACAAGTATGAACATACAAGATCTAGTAAGAGTAGACCCTGCCCTCAAGGAACACTGGGTGCAGCTTGAGAAAGTAAGATGAGTCAATAATTATGGCACAATGAATTCCACAATGGCCTTGAACATGGAGAGTAGCAACAATAACACAAAGTGGAGGGCCCAGAGGGAGGGCACAGCAAAGTTTTGAAGAAGGGAGTTTGTTAAATGGAGACAATGAAGTGAAGAGAATGATGAAGATCTTTTATTTAGCTGGAACTATGTAGCTTGAAAACAGAAATAATTAATGATTTTGAAAACTCAGGGAATGAAGGAAAATGAAACCAAAAGGAAAAGAAAAAAAAAGAATATACTTTGTAAAACCTAGTGATAAAAGCTCTTCATTAAGGTTGGATTTTAAAGAGATAAATATGTTTGAGAGAGTAGTTTTTCAATAAAAATTCATTCTAACTTCACAGAAATTTACTGAAAAATACCTAGAAGGTATTCAGGGGACATATACCTACTGCTTTATATATGTCATTCTGAAAACTTACATCTCAATCTTAAATATTAAATTTATATGTTGAGTTATGGGAGAAGGAGTAATAACTGAAAAGATTCCAGTTATAAAAACACAAATTGATTTGTAAAATTTAATTAATTAAACACAAATGTGTACATATGGGGACAAAATTAAGTAATAATTTAACTTAAAATTTTATATTCATTTTTCCTGTTGATTTAGAACAACAGTAGTTAAATATAGATTTCTAAATTTACCATCAATTTAAAAGTCGAATTTAATTCACTACAATTTCTATTCAAATTGTTATCACTGTGAGTTTTCTAGCTTTCCCTTCCTTGCCATGATTATACTTTTATACTTACTGTATAATTTTAAGATCATGAATTATTCTTCTAGGCATACTAGAGGCAGATATTATTATGACTGTGTTAATAATAAACAGTCATGAGACAGAGAAGCAGACAGGAGATCTTTAGTGCTTTCCTACATTTTATTAATTACTGAAAATAAGGTTATACTTTAGTTACCCAATACCATTTTCTTCTTTTGGAATAGAATATCCTGGGTAGAGAAATATAGTCCAGAGTCAATTACGGGTTCTCATTCCAAACAAACCACTAAGTTCCTCTATACTTTTTGGTAAAAATACAGAGTCTATTTTACTTTCACAAAACAAGGGACTGGTCTAGAAATCTATACAGTTCTGCTTCTAAATATAAAATTATTTCTTTTAGCCAAAAAATTAATTAGTGAGTTTCTATTATGAAACGGCGCTGTTCTTGGAGTTAAAGATTACAATGCTTCCTGTCTTCAAAAATTCACAATCTAGCTGGGGGCAGGAGACATAGCAATAATAATAAAACATGGAAATGGAATGATATCTATTAAGGATATTACAGAAGCCAAGAGGGTTCCTAATTAAATTAAGAGAGAAAGATAAGATATGGGAAATGCTACAGGAGAAGGTAATATCTCATCTTGGACTGAAATGAGAAATGACAGGTATCCAGTCAAGAAGGGACCAGAGACACTTTTGAGGCAGAAGGAAGGAACACATGATAAAAGGCATAGAGATGCTGAAGCAACTGGTAGATGGAAGGATCATGAAAGAGAACAAAAGTCAGTCTTCTGTGAATAGAGACTAAGTATTCAGGAAGGGGTGGTAGGATATCAGGTGATGGAGTTAGGACCAGGTTATAAAACTCCTGAGTGCCATGCTATGGAGATTTATCTTGACCCTGTAGGCCAGGAATCTACAGCCAGAGTGTAAATATTTTAGGTTTTTCAGGACATACAGTCTCTGTTTTTAACTACTCAACCTTGCTATTGTAGCGTTAAAAGCAATCACAGATAATACATAAATGAATGAGTACAGCCATGTTCCAATAAAACTTTATTTACAAAAGCAAGCAGTGGGGCATCAGGCAGTAGTCTACCAAGCCATTATAGACAATAGGATACACTAAGGCTACTACATGTATTCTTAACTACTTTTTATCTACATCTTTCTAGAAACTGTATGAAGAATGAATTTGAGTGGAATTTGACTGAGGGCTGGAAAACCAGTTGGAGAATTGTAGCAGTAGTCCAGGGATGAAAAAGAGGGTGCACACAGAGAAAATATTGAAAAAATGAAATGAACAAGACTTTGGAACTGATTGGATGAAGAAGACCATGAGGGTATGAGTGGAGAAAAGAGGAGGAAGCTGAGAAGGAGGGGTAAGAGTGACCTTTATGTTTCAGCGTGGATGATGTTTGGATAGCAGTACCTACAGTTTACATGGAGAATACTGAAAATAGACACTGATTTGCGGGGGGGGGGGATGAATTTAGTTTTGTACATGCTGAGTTAAGAAGTCTACATGATACCTGGAAAGCAATGTCCAGGAAACAATGTTAGTAATTCATAGAGTGATCTGAGCTGGAGGCAAACAGGTAGAAGACATCAACTGATAGATGGCAGTTGAGATTATTAGAGTGAGTGAGCTCTGTTAGAAGGATCTAGTTGGACAAGATAATCCCTAAGAAGCTGGTGAAGGTCCTTCTGCAGGAAAAAAACAATGCAAACATACATAAATGAATGAAATTTTCACAAAATTCTCAAGATTTATGGACCCAAGTTGAGACATTCTTGGTTAACCTAGGATCCTGAAAAGCACTAGTATTTAAAAGGTGGATCAATGTTTCTACAAATCAAATAGAGAAGAGTGGTTTGTTTTTTTTTTAAATAAGAGGGTGGCGTAGGTCCAAATGGATTCCACTTAAAAAATGACCATTGGGTTTGGCAATTACAAATTGATTCCTACCCTTGTGCCACAATTCCAGTAGACGGATTGAAGTGGCTTGCAGATGGAAATGGACCCAAGAGTGACCAAGATGTAAGAAAATAGAAACAGTGAGGGTTGTGTCTTCTTTCAAGAAGTCTGATCAGAAGGTAAGTACAGGTCATTTGTAGGGTATGCAGAACTTGACACATTTTTATCGACATCAAAATATCAGTATGGCTGTGTTTCAATAAAACTTTATTTTTGTAAGACTTTTGTAAGAATTTATATCTGTTTCTAAATAAGATAATATTCACAGCCCTGGGCTAGGGCAAATTAAATAAGCATATTTAAATTGAGATTACTTTTTTGGAATCACTGAAAATCTAAAAGCTTGAGATAGAAACTGAACAGGTACCATTTAGAAACTCAAACTGCATAAGAATGAATCTTTTATTTTTTTTTTATCCAACCTACAAAGTATTTATCTTAGCTTCTATATTTTTAAGATGCTCCAGACAGATCCTCTCAAGGGAAGTTAGAACAATAAAATCTCCAGCTGATAGATGAGAAAAGGCAGAAAGATGCATGATGGCTAATTCTGAAAACATGGAAAGAAAGAAGTGGGAAAAAAAAAAAAGACAACTTTGAATGTCAAGTATCAGTTTACCTTTAAGTCTTTTGCTGACCTTCTGGTCAATTTAACCACTGAATCCCCTGTGGGGCCCCTTGTCCTCATTTTCTTGGCATCATTCATTGTGTGCAGAGCACTGTACTAACCCAGTGAAGTGGGTATTATCCCCATTTTCGAATGAGGGAAGCCAAGCTCAAAGAAATAAAAAGCTTTGTCCAAGTTCTCCTGTTGACGAAGAAGTGGGCCTTGTCTGTCTGGCTCCCATCTCTTTCCTCTGCCTGTATTCTCCCTCTCCTTTATTCTGGAAAGCCAAGATTATGTGGAACTGGCAGAACAATGTCAAGAAGGAAACACTCGGTTTCTAAATTCATTAATCCTCTGCATCTCAGAAAACAAACAATAACAATAACAACAACAAAAAAACCCACCACCAGTTAAAACAAGGACTTTCCCTTTCAAATAAAAACGTGGAAACAAGTGTTTAAAGTCATTTTAGAAGCACTACAACTCCCCAAATGGTAGCTCCTTACCACCCCCAGACACTTACCTTTTGTCCCGAAGTACCAAGTGCCTTCTACATTCCAGAGTATGGCTCCCAAGCAGCTCACCAGGGACATGGCCAGAAGCAGCACGAACACCACCAGGATCTGCACATTGGTCACCTTCTCAACACGTGATTTCTTGAGAGGCGATTTAATAGAATTCTGCAAAATAACACATGCACACGCACCAAAGAGAATGAAAAACCATCAGAGGAATTATCATGCATGAATATTTTGGTGGCAGGAAGAAGTAAAAAATCCCAACAGTTGAAAAGGAGAACATATATTTTGCCAAATAACTGCCACGACTAAAAGTGTGCCACAGCGTTGAATGACATGGTTTCTCCACATTCAGTCCTTAAAGCATCTGTTACTAATTCACAAAGAACATATTCATGCAAGCAATCTATCAACTGAGAGTTCTAGGATATAAAAAAAAATCAAATGTATTAAATCAGACAGCTAGGTGATCTTTGGTACAGAACCCCCCCCCCCCAAATAAAAAGACAGTACTAATTTATTGGCTTTGGTATTTATAGTTTTTGAATTATTTCTGGTTTAAAAAGCGTAGAAAGGGCAGCCCCAGTGGCGCAGCGGTTTAGCGCCACCTGCAGCCTAGGGCGTGATCCTGGAGACCCGGGATCGAGTCCCACATCGGGCTACCTGCATGGTGCCTGTTTCTCCCTCTGCCTGTGTCTCTGCCTCTCTCTCTAGCTGTGTCTCTATGAATAAATACATTTTTAAAAAAAAGCATAGAAAGATACCTTCCAAAATATTCGAGATTTTACCAGTGCAATAATTGCTCTGACACACGCATATTTTAGGGAAACCAAAGCTTTGGGTTAGGGCTACATTGAGAGTTTCAAATAATAATTTTCTATTACCATTTCAAGTTTGCCCATAAATTCCTGATAATTGCCTGCAGAAGTCTACTGAAATGCTGGCAATAAATGTACATTTAGTTTTTAAATACATAACACATAATTGGCAAGCATATAGAAATATACAGATAAAGAGATATTTAACTTTTCAAACACACTTTGCCAGATTGTTTGCCATTTCTACATTTTTTTAAGGTGGAAGCATAAATCTTCAAAATCTACAAGCTTTGAAAATATGAATTAGTAATCTAAATTACTCAACTTTTTTTTACAAAGCATAGGAATAAGATTTTTATGATCCTAGGTTTAACTGCATTAAGCATATTATTAGTGAATGTCTGTGCATGTGTGTGCACATAATTTAAAATATATATACTTAAGTATATCATCTCCAAAGCAATCATGTCATTCCTTCTCTTTTGTTAACCTATATAAGTAATGTCTTCAAATGTTACACAATATAGAACAGATTCCAGCTAAGTGTGTTCTACTTAAAATCTTACAGTAAGGAAATATTGACATTTACTAGTTCTTTCTTTCCTAAAGTCACGAAAAAGCCCTCTTTGAAATTTCTGATATTCTGAAATGACACAATCAACATGTATAATACACATTTGCAATGATTTACATCCATAGAATAATGTGTTAGAGAAGGATGCACTTTCTCACGAGCTGCAGCACAGATAAGCCACACTGGGAGGATAATGGAGCGGTCTTCTTAAATTAACAGGAGGACATTTAAACCTAAGATGCAATGTTGTATAACCAGGTGTACAATTAAGTAATACAGCATAATCATTTGAAGTGTACTGTTGGAGGGTTGTCCATTTTACAACTGAATCATGGGTCATGATTATGTGGGTTCTATGTTGCCCTTGGTTCCCTGTCCAAATACAAACTTCTGTTTGTAGATAGTGTTTATATCATTTCTTAGTCTGGGGTTCTCAATATACAGAAGACAAGGAAAATGTACACGTTAATGCATCATTGTGGGGTACAATCCAGGGCAGGAAGAATGGAGGAAAAAGAAAAGTGAGACAAGAAATCAGGAAGCAAACAGAGTGGGATGTCACTGGTCATAGCTTTGCAAGAAAATGTATCCAAGTCCTCAGTCATGCAGCCCCCCAACTTTTCCCAGACTAGTCTGTCACCATTCTATGCCTTTTTCTCTGCCATTTACAAGACAGTCACACTAAATTGCATTCCTCAATTGGATACATGCCAATTCTTGGTCTACTGCTCTCCTATCTGCCTCCCTTTTTTTCTGAACCTCACCATGCCCTTGATACTTCCATGTATTCTACTCAGCCTTCAGGTCTTGCTTTACATGTTACTTCCCCACAAGAGCCTCAACATCAGGTCAGATGGAGCTCCTATGTAGACACAGAGCATCTTATAATTACCCCTCCTGAGTGACCTCTTGCTATTATTATCTTGACCATCTTTCTTCACACACTGCAAGTAACTCAAGGGCAGTCAAGTGCCCTTGAGTCAACTATACCCCCAAGTTCTTAGTACAGTGTCTGGCATTACATAGGTACTAAAGAGATATTTGTAGAATGAACAGTCCAAACCAAATGTTGTATTTTAGTGGATGGCATAATGGGTAGACTTATTGTTAAGTTACTTCTCATTAACAATAAACACGCAAAAAAGTTCCTACTCCAAAACAAAGTTGTCTTAAGGGATTCTTGAAACACAATGATTGATTTTTAGGCACACAATTTAGTGATTCAACACTTCCATACAACACCTGGAATACATCACAAGTACACTCTTTAATCCCCATCACCTATTTAATCCATCCCCTCACCCATCTCTCCCTAACTGGATTTAAATAAAAACTTGAAAAAAATATGCTGCCTTTTTTATTTTCAATACTTTCAATGCCAGAGATTTATCTTCTATTAAAAAAAAGCAGCTATCCATGTTCACTGCAGTGATTTTTATAATAGTTTCTCTCCCCTAGACTTTTTAATGTACCTATGTCATTTCCAACATCAAAGATTGATTGATTATTGATTTCAGAGAGAGAGAGAGTGCATGCATGCACATGAGCAGGGAGAGGGGCATAGGGATAGAGAGAGAGAATCTCAAGCAGACTCAGCTCTGAGAATGAAGCCAGGTGTGGAGCTCGATCCTACTACCCTGTGATCATGACCTGAACCAAATCAAGAGTCAGAAGCTCAACCAACTGAGCCACCCAGGTGTCCCTCCACATGTTTATATAGAATGTAATTTTAAGTCTTCAATAGCAATTCACATAGTATTCTGTACAGATTGATACTATTTTTGCCAACACAAAATGTTTTCCATACATTTATGTGTCTATACACATATTATTAAATATTTGTTCATTAAGCAATAAAAAAGAAAGAAAGAGAGAAGAAAGAAAGAAAGAAAGAAAAAAGAAAGAAAGAAAGAAAGAAGAAAGAAAGAGAAAGAAAGAAAGAAGAAAGAAAGAAAGAAAGAAAGAAAGAAAGAAAGAAAGAAAGAAAGAAAGAAAGAAAAAGAAAGAAAGAAAGACAATTGAGAGGAATGGTACATGATGGTAAGAATTTACACAGAACTTCTTTTTTTTATTTTTAATTTTTTTTTATTTATGATAGTCATCACAGAGAGAGAGAGAGAGAGAGAGAGGCAGAGACACAGGCAGAGGGAGAAGCAGGCTCCATGCACCGGGAGCCCGACGTGGGATTCGATCCCGGGTCTCCAGGATCACACCCGGGGCCAAAGGCAGGCGCTAAACCGCTGCGCCACCCAGGGATCCCCTACACAGAACTTCTAATGTCATTTTGGCCAAAATAATCTTATCACAAATGGGAGGCATATAGACTGAAATGAAATATGGATCTCCCTTCAAACTTCAGGTTAGTAAACAGAAATAAGCTTCCTAAATTTAAGAGATAAATGCTAAACCCCTCACTTCATGAAAAAAGAAAAAAATGTAGAGGTAATACTGTCATCACAAATTATTTTACCTGCATGAATTTGGTTTCAAATCCAGTGTAAACAACTATGCCAAGGACCCATTGAGTATCTTTAAGTTGTGTACCTCTTAGCAAGACCTGATCAGGCCCAATTGGAACGGGGCTAAAAATAAAGAAGAACATTTATAAATTACCAAAAAGTTTTTTTTTCTTTTTTTTCTTTTCACAATGCATAGCAAGCCTAAGCTTTCATCTTATATATATTTCCTTTTGTCAAGTCCAACTGTAAGGGGAAGTAGCAATAAAAACAAATGTGTTTTCATAGAAAGTACCTACTTCTAAAAGAGGATGGAAAAAATTGTGTTATCATCCATTTCTCACTAACCCAAAGTTATGTCGATTAAAATTTGAGAAAGAAAATATCTCTTATACCTAGAGAGCCTACAAAACTTACTGTCAAGTAAGAAGAAGAATAAACACCTGTGTGCCAGTTTGGTAATCTATAGAAAAGATTAGACGTGGTCATTCAGAGCACACAAAACAAGCTCAGTCTGCCATATTTACCTGTCCTCCTCTGCTCCCGCACCAGGCTGACTCATTATATAAAAGATGTTTCTATAAAAGTCTTAGGTGGAAGCTAAGTAGAAGTGGAGCAGAAATTAGGAAAAATCCTTCATCATTGTCAAACTGAATCCTTAATGGATTCTCTTCTTAGATGACTTTCAAAACCTTATTCTTCCCACTAATTGACCCCAAGAGATGTGCTAAGTGCTTGTATGCAAAAGGAACTTGGACCAGACTTCTCAAGCCCTTCCATTTGCAGGTACACTGATTAAGAAAATGCCATCCTTTTTTTTCTTTTTATATCAATATACTGATGCTTCAAGTAAAAAAAAAATGAAAAAGTATAAAGGTTTAAAATGTTACCAACCAAGAGAACAAAAACTGCCATATTTTCTGTTCCATTAAAAAAAATGTTTGGGGCAGCCTGAGTGGTTTAGCGGTTTAGCACCACCTTCAGCCCAGGGCCTGATCCTGGGAGCCCAGGATCGAGTCCCATGTCAGGCTCCCTGCATGGAGCCTGCTTCTCCCTCTGCCTGTGTCTCTACCTCTCTCTCTCTCTCTCTCTCTCTCTCTCTCTCTCTCTCTGTGTGTGTGTGTGTGTCTCATGAATAAATAAATAAAATCTTAAAATAAAATGTTTGAGGAGAGAAAGATGATACCTTTCATCCTTTAGATACAAGGTTCCAATGAAGGTATTAAAATGACGATTAGGTCCTTCACATTCTATTTTTCCAGATAGGCTTGACAATTGCCTTTCTGTTTGCATTTGAGCTGTTTCTAACAAAGCCTGTAAAATAAAGTCAAAGTTAAAAAAATGAAAATAAAAATTTAATGGCAAATTTCAATGTCTCTAGTAGTTAATAAAATAAAATTATGAAAATCAGGATCTAAAAATGTATTGCACTTAACAGATAATAATGTATATCAAACTTTAACATAAACTTTGTTAGAAAACTGCCATACCAGAATTTTGCAAATAACTTTAATAAGGTTGAAAGGAGTAGAAAAGTTAAGTTTTCATCATCTCTGTATGAAAATAACACTTTTGAAAGTGAAGTCACTATAACCAAACATCATATCACATTTGATACATTTATGCCTTCAGTTGATGATGCTGAACTCTGGACCACGCTAAGAGCAGCAAGGATCTCAAATAGCAATTCCAGATTTTTGCATGCATCAGATTCACCTGGAAGTCTTATTAAAATACAGATTGCTGAGATGTACACCCAAGGTTTTTATTCAGTAGGTCTGGGGCAGGGCACTAGAATTCACATTTCCAAAAGGATGGTGATGCTGCTGGTCCAGGGATCACTTGGAGAAACACTGACCTAAGGAATTTCTCATTGCAATAAGATGATCTCAACTTTCCAGAGAGAAAAAGTAGATTATCTTCGGGAAAACAAGAATCAAATTGTCATCAGTCTTCTTAATAGGCAATACAAGATACAGGAAGGCAGTGAATTTTTAATTATCTAAATAAAAGACCCTTTAAATTTAAATGTTATATCTTCCCAAATATCAAACAAAGGTGAATATATAATGCAAATATTCTCAGGCATGCAAACAATGTCTTAGAGGTTTCGATGCTCAGAAACCAACATTGAGACAGTCTGGGATGAACTTCTGTTAATCAAAAGATGCCTTAAAGAAAACATAAGAGCAAGTTACCAACTGGGTAAGTGTCTTCTAGATGTTTGTAACACATATAACTGACAAAGAATTGGTATGAAAAATATGTAAAGAAATTCTATAAACCAATAAAAATTACAAATATCTCAATATATAAGTGAACAAACCACATGAACAAGTACTTCCTAAAGAAAATTTGTATTGCCAGTAAGCTCAAAAACAGATGTTCAAGTGATATATTAATGAATTTAAAAAGAAAAAGCATTATTATGTCAGTAGAGGCTGAAAAAATTAGTAAAAGGCTTAAGATGTATACTGGAAAAATAAAACTCTTAGCAAAACTTCACAAATTTGATAAAAAGCAAACAAAAAGCAACTATTCACACTTAGCTATAAAATGTTAAAGCATTTCCATGTTCGTTAGGATCAAGAAGAGACTAGGTTCTATCACCAAATATCTGTAACTGCTCAGGAGTTTCTGGGTAATGTCAAAAGATAGGGGGGGGATTCTTTTACCCAAAAAATCCTATCTCCTTGACTTAAAAATCATAAACATGTGTAATAGAGTGGAAGGTGGTTGGCTTCAAGATCAATAAACAAAAATAAGTGGATGTATCACAGTTAAACATTCACCCACTAGAGTGTCCTCTAGTAAAGCTGCTATGAACATTTGCATGTTTATTGTTGTCATGTGAACCTAGGTTTTCATCTCTCTGGGATAGTACAATTACAGGTTATATGATAGTTGCATGTTTAATTTTATACAAAACTGCCAAAATGTTTCCCCAAGTGGCTGTGTCATTTATATATTGAATATAAATATATATTTATATTCAAACCCATAGTGTTTGAATGATCCGGTTTCTCCACATCCTTACCTACATTCAGTGTTGGAACTATTTTCAACTTTGGCCATTCTGATAGGTGTGTAGTGACGTTTCACTTTGATTTTAATTTGCATTTCCCAAATGGCTAATGATGTAGAAAATGTCTTCATGTGCTTATTTGCCATTTTTATACCCTGTTCTATGAAATATCCCTTGTGCTCATTTTCTAATTGAATTGTTTTGTTTGGCCTTTTTTTTTTTTTCTGTAGAGTTGGAGAGTTCTTTATATATTCCAGATACCAGTCCTTTGTCAAACGTGGTTTGCAAATATTTTCTCCCAGTTTTCAGCTTGTCTTTTCATCCTCTTCAAAAGCGAAAGCCTTCCATTTTGATAAGGTCCAACTTCTCAATTTTTCCTTTTCTGGACCATATTTTTAGTATCGATTTTGAGAAATCTTGGCCTACTTACTCTAAATTCTGAAGATTTTTTTCCAATTTTTTTTTCCTAAAAGTTTTATATTTTATATTTAAGTCATGATAAATTATTATTTAGCTTTTATATAAAGTATGAGACTTAGGTCAACAGTTTATTTATTTTGCCTATGAATGTACAAATGCTCCAGCACCATTTGTTGAAAGGATGATCTTTTCTCCAGTGAACTGCTTTTCCTCTTTTGACAAAATCATTTGGGCACATTTGTGTAGATTTGTTTCTGGGTTTTCTATCTGTGGCTTTGAGCTATGTGACCATCCTTTTACCAAAACTATACACCCTTGATTACTGTAGTCACAGAATGTCTTGAAGTCAGATAGATTTACACTTTCCATTTTATGCTGCTCTTTCAAAGTTGTTTTAGCTAAAGTTTTTTTTGCCTTTATGTACATATTTTAGGATAAACTTATCTGTCTCTACAAAAAGTCTTGCTGGTATTTTCATAGGAGCTGCATTAAACCTATATGTCAATTTGGGGAGAATTAACATCCTTACTGCGTTGAGTCTTTCAATCCATGAACACTGTTTATCTCTCCATTTATCTAGATCTTCTTTCATTTCTTTCATCAACATTATAATGAAATTTTTGGCATTCAGGTCCTGTCGGTATTGTTAGATTTATACCTAATTTATATTTTGAGCACTTATAAATGAAACTATATTTTCAAGATTGTATTTACTTATTTGAGAGAGAATGAGTCGGGAAGGGGCAGGGGGAGAGGGAGTGGCAGATTCCCCACTGAGCAGGGAGTCAGGGGCTCAATTTCAGGACCCTGGGATCTCGACCTGAGCTGAAGGCAGATGCTTAACCAGCTGAGCCACCCATGTGCCCTGACCCTGTATTTCTAATTTCAGGGTCCACATGTTTATTGCCACTATAAGAAATAAAGTGGTTTTGTATGTTTATCTGGTATCCTGCATCCTTGCCAAAAACACATTATTTCATTTTATTTTAGATTTCTCAGGAATCTAAGTAAACAACTTTCCTATGTAGACAACTATGTCAAATCAAATAGACAGTTTTATTACTTCCCTTCCAATCTGTAGGCCTGTTTTCTTCTTATTGTACTTCCTACCTCTTCCAATGCTATGTGAACAAAAGTAGTGAGAGCAGACATCCTTGCCTGTTTCCCATCCGGGGGGATGCATTTAGTCTCTACCACTTATATTTTACCACTTATTTTTAATATTAGCTTTAAGTGTTTTTGTAGATGTTCTTTACCAAGTTGAGAATATTCTCCTTTATTTCTACATTCTCTAAGTTTTTATCATGAATTGAAACTGAATTTTGTCAGATGCTTTTCCTGCATGTATTGATATTATTATGTGATTTTTCTTCTTTAGCCTAAAATGGTGGATTACATGAATTGATTTTCAATTATTAAACAAGCCGTAACTACATGGAATTAACCTTTATAATTCTTTTCATATATTGCTGAATTCTACTTACTAATATTTTTAAAGAGTCTGAATGTCTATTCCCATAAAGGATATTGGACTGTTTTCTTTTTTTTCCACTGTCTCTGTCTGATTTGAGTATCAGGGTAAAAATAACAGCTTCATGAAATGAGTTGGGAAGTGCTCCCTCCTCTTCTGTTTTCTGGAGGAGACTGTGTATAATTGATGTTAATTTTTCTTTGTATGTTGTTAGAATTCTCCAGTGAAACCACGTAGGTCTTGAGATTTCTTTTGGGGGAGTTTTTAAATTATAAATTCAATTTCCTTAGTAGTTATTGGGCTATTCAATTTACCTTTCTCTAGCATTTGTAGGTTCTGTTATCTTTATCACTGATTTCCAGCTTTATTCCATTGTGGTTGGAGAACACATCCTCCATGGTTTCAATTTTTTTAATTTTATGACAAAGGTATTGTCTATCTTAGTGTATGTTCCTTGTACACTGAAAAGACTGTGTGTCTTTCTTTTGTTGGGTATTGTTGAATGTTATATAAATATAAATCAACAGATCCTGTGGATTAATGGCACATTGTTCTGTATCTTTGACAATGTTCAAATCCAATCCAGTTGTTCTGTCAATTAATGAGGGTAGCTGAAGTCTCCAAGTGTAAATGTGGATTTGTATATTTATCCTTTAAATTCTATAACTCTTAGCTTCACATATTTGCAGTTCTGTTTTTTGATGTATACACACATCAGCATTACTATGTCTTATTGGTGGATTGACTCCCTTATCATTGTATAATGATAAAAAATGTTCCTTTCTGTCACTAGCAATTTCATCTGCTCTGATGTTTATTTGACCTGATATTAATCTAGCTATTCCTGATTTCTTTTAATTAATCTTTACATGATATATCTTTTTCCATTTTTTTTACTTTTAACCTTACTACACCATTATAAATAAAAATGTTTTTTTAATAAATAGCATATAGTTGGATCATGTTTCTAACCCATTAGATGATACTTTAACTCAATACTTAATGGCATATTAATACCATTTATATTCAATATAATTATTGATATTTTTATTTTTCCTTTCTGGTTTTGCTTTTTGCTTTTTCCTGCCTTCCTTTGGATTACTTGAACATTTTTTAGAATTCCACTTTGGTTTATTTGTTTTAAAATATGTTCCTTTGATATAACTATTGCAGTGGTTGCTCCAGGAATTATGTTATTAATAAGCAACTTCTCATAGTTTATTTGTATCATCATTTTACAAGTTTAAATATAGAAGCCTTGCTTCCTTTTGTCTCTTTACCCTCATCATTATATATCTTAAATTTCTCCCACACATTTAGAACCATATCAGATAATTTTATGATTTTTGCTTCAACCACCAAACATAATTTAGAAAACTCAAGAGGAAAAAAAAAAGCTTATTGTATTTAGCTTTATTTTTGCTTATCATGTTCTTTCTTCCTTCTTCCTTATGTTCCTTTTTTATGGTTTCCTTTCTGTTTCAAAACCTTCCTTTAGCCATTCTTTTACAGTGAGTCTTGTAGCAACAAATTCTGTTATTTTTCCTTCGATCGGGAGTGTATTAATTCTCTCTTCATTCTTGAAAAGTATTTTTGCTGGATACATGATTCTGGGCTGACAGTTCTTCCCTATCACCATTTTTAAAATGTTATGCCATTTTTTTTCTGATCTCCACGGGTTTTAAAGAGAAATTTTCTGCTATATGAGGGGTCTTTTCCCTATAGGTAGGATCCTTTTTCTCTCACTGCTTTAAAATATTTTTTCTTTGTTTCCAAAAGTTTTTAGTTGGTATAGATTCTTTGGGTCTATCCTTTTCGGCTTGCTCAGCTTCTTAAATTTGTAGTTTATGTCTTTTGGCAAATTTGTGAAGTTTTAATCAACGTTTCTTCTAGTAGTTTTTCAGCTCTACCCTCTCTTCACCTTCCAGAATCTCATGCCATAAATGTTCTGGCTTCCTACTTGGTTTTTCTGACACATTCTTGTGGGGGAGTTGGGTGCCTTATTACAGCTGGGTAAGGGTGAAGGTCTAAGGCTCCACACTTAACTTTTGCTGGCATAGGTGGGAGTGGGACCAAATACTCTGGTGTTTTGCTGGAGTAGAGTGGCCATTGTCTCAAAACTTCTATCCTGCTGGCTGGCCCTTTTCTGGTCCTTTGACTAAAGAATGGAGGTTTTATTTTATTTTGTTTTTTGTCTGTGCCATTGGTTTTTCTGGGTTTTTGGTTTCTTCAGTTCCAAGCCTGGTATATACGAGGCAAAAAGAAAACCCAGGGAACTCACCACCCTGTTGTTCCCTGGGTTCCATGGTCCCATAATATGTTGTCTTCAACCACTCTTTCAGTGTCTTCTCATATTTGCTTTCTATATAATGTCCAAAGGTTTTAGTTGTCCTCAGCAGGAAAAATAAAAGAAAGTATGTTAACTTCATTTCCCCTGAAACAGAAATCTGTAATTGCATTTTTAAAAATCAGGAAGGTACCACCAAACTATTACAATAATTAGTACTGGGAATAAAGATGGGATTTGGAAGGAGGAGATAAAGTTTAACAGACAGCCAAAGTTTCTATATTATTTATATTATTTTTACAAAGATGATATATTACTTTAATAAATTCTAAATATGTTTTTTTCATTTTTCATTTTTTTCATTAAATCAAATTAAAGTTTGTGAAAAAGATTAGCAGACATGTAAATAGTCAAATGTAAATTCAGGGACTTCCTTGCTGAAGCAAAGTGATAAAGCAGACTCAATTATCTTAAAGATTGTCTCTTTTCCATTAATAGGAAGTTAATTGGAAAACTATCTCTTTTATAATCACAAGTTACTCTGAAATGCAAATGATAGTTTAAAAAGCAGTGGTTATATGCTCAGAGCTCATTTATACCCCTTTAATCTAGTTATGATATTTATCATGACGGTTGTTTTATCACCAAAGCATTAACAAAAATATCCTCAAAATAATATGCACAAAGGCATGTCATCCTTTATATGACCTGAATTTTATAGGACATTTTTTTCTTGCACTAGTGACATATCACCTAGTTCCTACTTAACTTTTTAAAAGTACCCCTCTAAATAATTAGTGAGAATGAATTGCCTCTATACAACAGCAGAGAGATACTTTTCTTCATGAGAAAAATAATAACTGGTACCTGGAAAAAATTGGCATTGTGAGCTTAGACACAGAATTAGGATTTAAAAAGGTGTCTTGGGATGCCTGGGTGGCTCAGCGGTTAAGCATCTGCCTTCAGTTCAGGGTGTGATCTCAGGATCCGGGATTGAGTCCCACATTGAGCTCCCTGTGAAGAGCCTGCTTCTCCCTCTGCCTATGTCTCTGCCTCTCTCTCTCTCTGTGTGTGTGTCTCTTATGGATAAATAAACAAATCTTTAAAAAAAAAAGTGTCTTTACCTGCCGTAATTTTAGGTTTGTCTCCCCATCCAGATTAGATGTTGCAACATAGCATGTTACTTGAGGTTCACTAAGGAGGATAAAGCAAATAACACTGAATTAATATCTCTCTAAAAATTAATTTCCCAATAATGTTAACAATGAAATAAGACCTACATCAACAGCTGAAAGGACTGTTGAAAGCTGAAAGAATGGGACACCTGGGTGGCTCAGCAGTTTAGCACCTGCCTTCAGCCCAGGGCATGATCCTGGAGTCCCGGGATCAAGTCCCACATCGGGCTCCCTGCATAGAGCCTGCTTCTCCCTCTGTCTGTGTCTCTGCCTCTCTTTCTGTGTCTCTCATTAATAAATAAATATTTTCTTTTAAAAAATAATAAAGCTGAAAGAATTACAATTACTTTTTCAGGAGACATTAGCAGTCTCATACTACAAGTCTAAAATTCATCTTATGGTAGAAAACTTTCTACCCCTACAAAGCCCTTTAATCCCAAAAAGAGAAATGGCTGAGGGTGAACAGAAGAGGTTATATAGCTCAGAACAGACCAGTGTCACAGCTAAGGTCAAATCTAAAATTCTGTTATTTTCTAAAATAGGTCCATTGTAGTTCCAATGGCTCAGGCTCTATGGTCTTTATATAATGAGGGTAAAATCTTTAGGATAACTCTGGACAGCGCAGAGGCTCTCAAACACTACACTTGGGCTTCTCTATTTCTACCTAACCTCATCATTTAAGAAGTCAAGACACTAAAGTAACGAACATTTGCCTTGCCAGATTCTACTCCATGTCAAATGCAAGTCATTCATGAAAATTAATTGTTTTGGGGGGAAATGCCACAAAGAATAACAAAAACTGTCATTAAAGTTTACTTAGTTTTGATTTCAGTCTTAACTCTTTTGACTGTATTTCACTTACTGATTATCAAGTTTAAAGTAAAACAATCTGTATCAATTTTGCCAGATAAGACCATATACCTCCAAAATAAAAATATATCTTTATTAAAGATATCAGTGATGTAACAAAGTAAGAACTTCCAAAAATTTTCTCTTCTATAAAACAGTGAGATAACTGACAAAAACTATGAGAATCAACTTTCTTAAGAACTTGGAAAATTAATTAAATACTTAAATCAACCCAGGGAGATTTTACTCAAGAAAAAAAAAGCCAAATATTGGTTTTTAAAAAGTTCCACCTCTTCCTTTTGACTGCTTTAAATATAATAGTACACATTCCTGGTAATGAGGGAGCATAAAACAGCAAGACTTCTTTCAAAGTATGTTCCCATAAAGTCATTATTTTACGATCTCTGAAAGGTTCCCCTTGAAGGGCTTGTTTTTATTTGACCTGACCCAGAGTTTACCCAGTGCTAAAATCCTGGGTAAACAGTGGCGGGGATGGGGAAAACATTTGTTGAGAACATCATGAAAGTGTTTTAATATTGCAGTGTCTGAGGTGATATATAACAGGGGAAACAACAGACTAATCAAAGGGCCTATAAGAAAAATTTGTACTGAGAAGCAACACAAATAAATCCTGGGTGGGGTGCCTGGGTGGCTTAGTCGGTTAGGTATCCAAATCTTGATCTCAGCTCAGGTCTTCATCTCAAGGTCATGAATTCAAGCCTGCTTTGGGCTCCACACTGGGCAGGGATCCCTTAAAAATTTTTTTTAAAATAAATCCTAGGTAAGAGAAAGAATCTGATTGCCAGAGATGCCACATTATATTACTTAAAATGTCCCACTTTCAATAAAAAACCACAAGACATGAAAACCATGAGAAGTAAATATGATCCACACACAGATTAAAAAGCAATCAATAGAAAGCTTCCCTGAGCAAAACCAGACATTGAACTTACTACACAAAGATGTAAATCAGACATGCTAAATATGTTCAAATAGCTAAAAGAAATTATGTTGAAAGAAATAACATATTAGAATATGTCCCATCAAATAAAGATTATCAAGAAAGAAATAAAAATGATAAAAATGATACCAAATAAAAACTCTAAGTTGAAAAGTACAATAAGTGAAGTGAAAAATTCATTGCTTAGATTTGAGCAAGCAGAAAAAGACTCAAACCTGAAGATAGATCAATTGAGATAACTCAGTCTAAGAAACAAAAATTTTAAAGAAAAATAAACAAAGCCTCAGAAACATGTGGAATACAAACAAACATACCAACAAATGCATAATGGGAGTCCCAAAAGGAGAAAACTGAGAAAGGGGCAGAAAAAAATATTAAAGAAATGCTGTCCCCAAACCTCCCAAAGTTGATGAAGAGCATTAATCTATACATCCAAGAAGCTCAACAAAATAAGCCTTCAAGTAAAATATTCTCAAAGAAACCACACCTAGACAAATAATAATCAAACTGTTAAAAGTTAAAGCCAAAGAGAAAATCTTGAAAGTAACAAGGGGAAAGCTACTCACCACTTTCAAGAGATGCCAAATAAGACTATAAATCATTTCTCAGCAGAAACTTTGGAGGATTGGGGCACCTGGGTGGCATAGTCGGTTAAGCACCCAACTCTTGGCTTTGGCTAAGATCATGAACTCAGGGTCATAAGATCTAGCCTTTCATTGGGTTTTGCACTCAGCATGAAGTCTGCTTGAGATTCTCTCTCCCTCTCCCTGCTCCTCCCCCTCTCTCTGTATCTCTTTCATATTAATAAATCTGAATGAATGAAAGAAAGAAATAAAGAAAGAAAGAAACAAACAAACAAACCTTGGAGGATAGAAGGCACTAGGAGGACCTATTCAAAGCAGTGAAAAAAAATACACATTCTTTGAATATTCTCCAAGATTGATCACATGCTAGACCATACAACAAGCCTCAATAAATTTAAAGGATTGAAATCATACAAAGTACATTCTTAGATCACAATAGGATGAAGTTGGAAATTAATAGGGAAATAAATTTGGGGAATTCCCAAATAAGTGGAATTTAAAGAACACACTACTAAATAACCAATGGGTCAAAGAGATATCAAAAAGGAAGTTAAAAAATACTTTGAAGTGAATGAGAGTTAAATTTATACCTGTAAATGACTACATTTTAAAAAATTAAAAAGAAAAATATCAAATTAATAACCTTGACACCTTAAAAAAAACTAAAAAAAAGAAGATATTTTAGATACATTTATAAATGAAAACATAAAGCTTGCAAAATACAAGGGGGGGACGTATATAGATGCATTTGTCTATAAACATAAAAGATCCCTGGAAGTATACACAGGAACATAATAGCATTGCGTACCTGATGGCAGGGAAACAGAAGGGAGGGAGACATCACTGGATGTCTTTTCCTAACTTTTAAAACTTGAAACACATGTGTGAATTAGCTATTCTAAAAAATTAAAACATTTAAAAGCCCCATGAAACTCCTCTTTCAAATTTGAAATACTCTAATGTACTCAGTCTAGAAATCATATAACCATGATTTTGTTCAAGCCCTGACTGGCTTAGAACATTGTATTGGTGTTTCTCCTTTCAAAGCATATTTTCACTCTTCTTATTATCTTTCTATTTTTACAACTCCCACATGGAAAACATAAAACAAACTATTCTTTTTTCTGAGAGAAGTGAGAACCAAGAATACAAATAGAAAAGATCTGTTCCAAATGATAAAGCTTTTCCATTAGACCAATAGCCCTTATTTAAAAAAATTTTGTCTCTAAATTTGATCATGAGATATGCATATCTAGGGCCAATAAAGTGATACCTGCTTTTAAAATTTTTTAATACAGAAGACAAATGTTTCAAAGAAAGTGAATTTTAGCAAATTTTTATATGTATCTCTTACAGATTTGAAAGATAGCAAAAATTAAATTTTTTGTGTGTGTGAAATATATCATACATCCAAAAGTTTATAGAATGTTTATAGTGTGAGAACAACAAAATACTGTTGTATTGCTATATATATTGCCAGATAAGAAATTGAGCAGAAAGGCCTCCCAATTGCATTTTCCTCTCTTCCTCCTAGAGATAGCTACTATATTAATATTTGTGATAATTATTTCCTTTTCTTTATAATTTCATTACTACATTTGTGTGTATCCTTAAGCAATATATTGGTTACTTATTATCTATAACAATTTGGGGGGGTTATGTACACAATAATAACATCTACAAATAATGAGAATCTTGTTCTTTTATTCTACTCCATATATACCAGTTTTTTCCTTTGATTGGGTTAAAATAGTTTCCTTTTATTGGTAGTTTTCTAGGAGTTTTTACCACAAATGAATGTTGCATATTTTGAAATGCTCCTATTGATATAATCATGTTTTTTACCTTTTAATCTACTAAAATGAAAATGCATTAAAGTGCGTTCTTTGGTTTCCTAATAATGAAACTGCTGTGGTCACTCTTCAGAAGTAGGATCAAGCCCCTACCCAAGATTTGGTTTGAGTGTCAAAACTGATAATGCCACAAACACACCAAAATGATGGGAAGGTTATTATTTATAAGGTGCCGAAGGAAGGTGCACACAGGCTTTCCTGTTAGGCAGCCCAGAAGTGCACAAAGGGGATGAGGAAGAGAGGCTTAAAAGTTGTCAGCAAACATCCAAAAATGGAATCAGACTCCTTATCAGACTCCTTATTATAAAAATAAATTGTATTCCTGTGATGAACCCCATCTGATCATTACATATTACCATCTTTAATATTGTCAAGTTTTTGTATTTTTATATTATAATTAACAACACACCTGTAAATTTACTTTATCATCCCATCTTTGTTCATTTTTTGTATGAAGGTTATATATATCAGCCTCAGAAAATTAACTAGAGAGTATTCTTTCTTTCTATCTCTTTGAACAGTTTATTGGAAGATTGGTATTTCCTCTACATTGATCATGTGACAGAATCTTACAATGTCTGGTCCTGATAGTCTCTTTGTGGTTTTTTTTTTTTAATACTTTCATAGTATTTTTAATGATTATATGACCACTCAGGTTCTATATCCTTTCTAAAACAACTTTTGGTAAGTTATATTTTTCTATGGATTTATGCATTTTATTTAAATGCTAAAACATGATTATAAACTTTCATAAGATCCTCTCTTTAATCTCTGATGCATTTCTAATTATATCAACTTCTCAATTTTTTCATATTGTGTACTTGTGCCTTTCTTTTTCTTCCCTGATTAATCTTACCAGAATTTTATTAGTCTTTTTCTAAGAAATAACAGTAAGCTCTTTTGTCCAATAGGTTAAAGCACTGGTGGCAAGAACAAATTACATCTGGTAGGAATAAGAGTTAGCGTTGGTATTTCTGCTTTTCCAGAAGCTTTGATAATGGCTGTGAAACAAATCTCTCTTCCCAATAAATCTCTCCATGCTCCAAGATGATCTGTGTCTAGAAGGCGAGGAACATGTTTTTATCACTTTGAGATGATTATGACTTGATCTAGGGAAACATTTTACTCAACATATCAAATGCAGCTGTGTTCATGACTATAGCCACTCTTACCTAGAGATGCCCCAAACTATGTTCTCCTTAGAGGGAACACGAGGACAGAGCTGAGCTCTCCAAGGGGCCCAATATAAAAACAGATGAGGAGGTGGTCAGACATGACCTAATGGGAAGGAAATACTGATTGTAGGGAGTCTCTGTATAAATTTCCTCCAAAACAGCCAATGAATAGTTCTATATAAAGAACAGAGACTGTGTTTTTAAATTTGAGCCTCACACGAGCCCACTAAATGCTACTGAAAAATCACTTACTCTCGTGTGAGTCACTGTTTATAGAATAGAAACATCTCAGTATTAGCATGAGATTAAAATATGATAATAAGTGTAAATATTTTAAATTTTTCTGAATGTCTGTAAAAATTACAGAAAAGATGGAATTAATCTAAAAATTAGGATGGAAGAATATATGTCCAGGGAATTAAAGAAAAGATAATAAAAGGATAGAAAAGCAGTCAGCAAACTATGGCCCACAGGCTATAAAGAGGCTCTGACTCTTTTTATAAATAAAGTTTTATAGGAACATGGCCACACCTATTTGTTTACATATTGCCTATGGCAGCTTCTGATGCTACAACAGAGTTTGCATGGCCCTCAAAGCTGAAAATGTTTACTATCAGTCCTTTCACAGTAAAAGGTTTTGCAACTTGACTTTGCAGTAAAACTTTGCTGGTCTATCATATAGAAAGAGATGGAGAAAGGGGTGAAAGGGAAGGCCTTTGGTTTTCTTAAAATTTCTTTTTTTTTTTATAAACTTTGTTTTTTTTTTTTTAATCTATATTTATTTATGATAGTCACACAGAGAGAGAGAGCGAGAGAGGCAGAGACACAGGCAGAGGGAGAAGCAGGCTCCATGCACCGGGAGCCCGATGTGGGATTCAATCCCAGGTCTCCAGGATCGCGCCCTGGGCCAAAGGCAGGCGCCAAACCGCTGCGCCACCCAGGGATCCCTTTCTTAAAATTTCTAATTCAGAATAAGAATTCCTTAAATGGGGGTGCCTAGGTGGCGCAGTCTGTTAAGAATGTGACTCTTGGGTTTGGCTCAGGTTTTGATCTCAGGGTCGTGAGATCAAGCCCTGTGTCAGGCTCCATGCTCAGCACAGAGTTTGCTTGAAATTCTCTCTCCCAGTCTGCCCCTTCCCCTCCAAAATAATAAGTAAATAAATCTAAAGAAAAAAAAAAGGTTCCTTCAATGCCCACTATCATAACCAACCTGGAAGAAATCAGAACCATGTCTGCAGGAAGGAACTGTCCATTTGAGGCTTTCACAATATCGCCCACAATTACCTTTGAAACCATGAGAGAAATCACAGATGCATCAATTTTAAAAGCAAACACAGAGTCAAAATGTGTCAAATATTTTTAAGAAAAAAGTATGATCTAAAAATTCTGGAACCATGCTAAGAAACTCTAGATATTTTAGAACAATTTTATTCTTTGAGGGATTCATTCCTCTAACACAGTTGTTCTTAACCAGGAGCTATTTGCCCTGCCCTTCCATCAGGGATGGAAGTGTCTGGATGGAAATGTCTGGAGACATCTTGAGTTGATACAACTTTGGGGGGTTTTAGGAGATGATGCTATTGGCATCAAGGGGATAGAGCCCAGGGATGCTGCTAAACATTCCACAATGCACAGGACAGCCCCCCACCTCAACAAATGATTTTCTGACCCAAAATGTAAATAGTGCCAAAGTTGAGAAATTCAAGCAACTGTTTTTGCAGTGATGTGCAGTTCATACACTATCACACTGTAATTGCTTGCCTAATGGTGCGGTTTCTCTCTGCTCGTCTGGAGCTTCACGTAGAACAGAAAAAAATGCCCATCTCAATCAATCAAACAATCAATCAATATTTGTTTACTGAATGTATGAGTGAATTCTACCTTGTAAGTAAGAAAGAGAGATCTAAATACTAGGAACAATACATGAAGAAAGCAGTATGAGTTTACGATGCTTCCTTCCTGTGTGCTTTTCTTGAACAAATGCCTTAAGCATTTACACTGTGCTAAGTTATTGAGGACACAACTCTCAAAATTCACAGGCCCTTCCTGGGCAGCTAGAAAAGCTGAGGGAGGAGAGAGGATTGAAATCCTTTCCTAAACTAATTCTGGACCTATACTGAAAAAAATAATTTCTTTCTGAAGAGGAAAAGAACAAGGAGACTCTATTTTTCTTTTTATAGTATGATTATATAGATCATTTCTATCTTCATTAATTGAGCAAAGATTAATTAAATATTTCAAATCAAAGTGAGAAGAGAATCTTAAAAGCTGTGTCTATAAATGCTGAGAACACATGTAATAGTAGAGAAGAAAAAAGAATTGTTAATTAAACATTCACAACTTATATCAAGTTCACAGTGCAGTAAACAAGGCATTTGTAGCTTATATAAACAACTAACTTACAGCCCAATCTAGCAATGGCTAGAATGAGACAAGCTGAGACTTTGTGATTAAAACTAGATTTCCCCCCAGAAAGAATATTAAGGCAGAAGATTATGTACCCAGGGAACTGACAGTAGGCAATCATCACCCTAAGCGAGGTCATGAACAGCACGTCTCTTACAAACTCTTATTTCTATTTTGCCCACAGGACCCCAAATCAGCTCCCTTTTCCTTTTGTAAGCACCTGTGTAAAGTGCTCCATTTGGTTAGACAGGTGTAAAAGGAGTCAAGAAGGATAAGAATTCCTGGTCCTTGGCTCTAGTTGTTTGACTTGTTCTTTCAGTGGAAGGCACTGGAGGTAAATTAAACTCAATCATACAATTACCTCTGCTCAGAAAGAAGCCTGCCATCCCCCAACCTCCTGCAACCTCACTCCTCTCCCCTTGTCTCTCACCAACCCTCTCCCCTGAGACTCTGCCACCAGGGATGGAGTGAATCTCTCAGGGACTTCTTTCTCTTGGTCCAATGAGAGGAGCAAAATTGCAACCATGACTGACTCGTCTGTTTTATCTCTCTCAGGGCAAGAAATACTAACAATACTTAGAAATGAAAACACTTTTATAATTAGTCCTCAAAGGAATTTTACACTGGTCAGCAATGAATTATTGAGGAAGACAAAGTATCTAGCCCCACTATGCCTTTAACTTCTATCATAGGGCAAATATTTATGAAAACATTCCCTGCTGTAGTCTCCATGTGACGATTGTCTTATACCCTGATCAACAGTTTGTGAAGCATCATCCTTAAAAATTCCAATGACACAGAGGTTAACACAGAGGCACATTAGAAAGCATGTAGTCTTCCAACCAAATAGACTTAAATTCAAAGCCTATTTTCAGTACTTTCAGGCTGTGTGACTTTAAGCAAAATATTTATTCTCTTTGATCCTCTACTTCCTTACTCATCTACAAAACAGGATAATATGACAGTTCTTAAAGGCATATTTCATGGATAAAAATCTGTTTAAATATGGTAGGTGTTTATTACTAAGTGAAAACTTATAATACATTCTTACCTCTTTCCACATAATGATTTTCCACACATTCTCTCTTAACACTGGAAAACATATAGCTACGTATTAACTGTAACAATTGCATTAGGTAAAGTCCAAAATCATAAAAGATACTTTTCCAAAAAAAACCCAAAAGTGTTTCTTTATAAAGTTCTGTCTTTATTAATTTAACCTTGGTATAAACTGGAAAAATATGGAAACTCTGTTCACAGGCACTGCACCAAAATAGAGTGATATGCATAATACAATGCAACCTAAACTAACTTAATGATAGAGAGATGACCCATAGGTAAAGCTACATTAAATTACTTCTTTTTTAAAAAATATTTTATTTATTGATTTGACAGACTGAGAGAGAGTGTGAGAGAGAGAGAGAGCACAAGGAGGCACAGTGGCAAGTAGTAGGAGAAGCATACTTCCCACTGAGCAGGGAGCCCAAAGCAGACTCAATCCAGGACTCTGGAATCAAGACCTGAGTCAAAGGTAGATGCTTTTTTTTAAATTTTTATTTATTTATTATAGTCATAGAGAGAGAGAGAGAGAGAGAGAGAGAGAGAGAGAGGCAGAGACACAGGCAGAGGGAGAAGCAGGCTCCATGCACCGGGAGCCCGATGTGGGACTCGATCCCGGGTCTCCAGGATCGCACCCTGGGCCAAAGGCAGGCACCAAACCGCTGCGCCACCCAGGGATCCCCAAAGGTAGATGCTTAATCAACTGAGCTACCCAAGTGACCCTACGTTAAGTTACTTCTGATTCTAAAGAGAAAACCATTTGCTATTACATGCTAAAATACTGGCTGATAGCCTGAAAAGCAACATTATACATTTCTAATCAATTACAAAGAATAGCACATTTCAAAGCTAGGACTGAGAGAGACTATGTAACACCCAGATTGTTTTTATCAATATAAGAATTGCTCATATCCCAAATATTCCAGCTTCCCATCTTTTTTCTTTTCTTTTATTCTAATTAGCATAGCTGACAATTTTCACATATAAGAAACAGTTTCCTTATGGTTGTTGTTCTTTGTTCCTGTATTTCTTTAAATAATAAAACATTATGAAACAAAGTACATGTATCTATTTGGTCAATTTGGGTTTTTTTTAATAGTAAAGAGGGATAAAAACTTAATCTAGTATCTTACCTATTATATCCTTTGTGTTAACTAATTTGTCTGCTATATGTCGTTTCTGTTATAGAAAAAAAAAATCCAATACGTCAAAAGTTCAAAGTGAATAATTCACATCATAATACAAGTCATAGGTTTAAAGAATAGAGGCAGCAAACCTACTTGTAAAGGGTGGGTTTTTTGTTTTGTTTTGTTTACTATAATTGATTACAATTTTGTTTTGCCCTTATCTGACTTTCTACATTGAAATGTGATCTAAGGGAGGGTGTATAGCAAAGTGGTTAAGTGTGTGGCCTATGGCAACAGCTTCCTTGGTTGACATAGGCATAGACATAGATGATGCCATCTCTGCCTCTTACGAATATAGCCGTGTCAGGTCACTAACCTGTCTGAGCCTCAGTTTAAATGGATACACACACACACACACACACACACACACAACATCACATATAAATACAGACAATACAGGGTCTCCTACATAGTGAAGCACTACTTGAAATGCCAGTATATTATATGCTGCTTTAAACACTAATTAGCAATCTTGAATTTTGCCCCAATTCAGCCCAGGGCTTTTGATTAAGTTTGAAAATTTTCTTTCATATTACAAACCAATCAAAAGACCAGCAACCAAAGAGATTTTACTGATGATCTATCTTTATAAGATAGGAATGAGGCAGAAACATAGGAACAGCAATAGCCAGCAATTTTGGAAAATGAGCATTAGGATTGTGAGTGAGGAGGAAGGGGACTCTATTAGAGTGACCTCAGCTGTACCTGGGAGGGTCAGAACAAACAGAAAACAGTATTATATATCTCTCTTCTTTTCCTTCACTGCTAAAATCTGTAGGCTCATGTGAAACTGTATCTGTGATAAGGTTAAAGAAGAAATGAAGTCACTGCACAATTTCTGAACTTTCTAGCCAGTTAGGACTTTCTAATTGCATTATATCATCCAAGATACATCTTATGATCACTATTAAGTGCCACTGATTTCTCAAACACACACACACACACAATTTAAAATCTGAAAACTTAAAACCTTAATGTGCTTTTCACATCAACTACAGATTTAAATAATTATACCAGCTCCAACTAGAAGCTTGAAAGAAAAAAAAAACATACCCCTTCTACTCGTGACAGTAGTTTTGAGAACATTTCACTAACAGTAAACTTACATAATCTTCTACAATCTCTTTGATGCCTGAAATTGTAAGAATAATCATCAAAGGCAAGAGAGTTGTATATTTTCCTGTTGGAGACACATCTGGAATTTGCTGCAAAAACAGAGTTACACTATGAATCTTATGATAAATCTTTCTTACATTTTGCTAACACTAAAAGTCAGGCAGCTAGTGACATACTCAGGACATAAGAACAACACACGGTGTTAAATGAGACTCTTAGCACATCAAAAACCACCCTTAAGCATGATACTAAACATTACATTATGGAAAAGTCACCAGTGTGACTGCTTAACACTTCAGTCCTTATGTCACCTTTCCAATAGAATACTTTTATTACATTTCGAAGACACTAGTTCAGAACTTAAGTGTCTAAAATAGCATCCTTTCAAAAGAGTTAAATCCAGAAGGTCAGTTAACTGAATCTTACTTCTTTTTTGAGGCAGAAGAGAAATTTTTTGGAGGCACATGAGAACAACATTTGTTGTAAATAACAAATTACCTGTGGAGAGTGCTTGCTATAGGTCTACGTGCCACTCTTTAAAATATGAGAAATACAGTGGGGTGCCTGGGTAGCTCAGTCAGTTAACTGTCCGACTCTTGATTTTTTCTCAGGTCATGATCTTGGGGTTGTGAGATCAAGCCCTGTGTGGGAGCCTGCCTAAGATTCAATCTCTCTCCCTCTGCCCCTTCCAACTCCTCCCCACCCTGCTCACACTCAATAATTAATTAATTAATTAATTATGAGAAATAAAGTGCTAAACAGGCTGTGGCAGTTTCCTGATAGATGGAAGGGTAGCTGAGGTCCTAGATTGGACCCTTTAAGTTTTCCAGATTTAGACCAGTTTTTAGGCTTGTATTTCCAGGCGTGGGCCTGTGTGTACTCTCTATGCTGCCTTATTTCCTGCTGGCTTATTATTTCTTTGTGGAGCAAAATAGTGTCTATTGTGAAGTTCTTGATAATTCTTGTAACTACTTTAAAAGCAGTCTGAGAACCAGAGGAAGAAGAGGAGAAATTTTAAGATCACTTAGGCTATCAATTAAATCTGCCTTTCAAATAACTTCTATCTGTCCCTCTTCTCTATCTCTCTGCAATGCACCTCCAAGCCAGTCTTGCTGCTCACAGGCCTCTCTCTGTCTTTCCCTCAGTTAAGCCTAGCCAGAGCTGGTCACTTCACTTTCGCTCCTGTCATTACCTTCTCACTGTCCCTAGAATACAGTCTGAGCTTCTGAATGTAGCATGCTAAATTTCTTATAACCTGATCTCAGATGACATCTTCAGCTTCTTTTCTACTTTATGCTCCAAACAAATTTTTTTCCTGTTTCCAGAATATTTCAGACACTAGAAAAAAAATTAATACTTTAAATTTTCACAATTCAAAATCTATAAAAGCTTCCCAGAGAAATTTTTACCTCTTTCCTTTCCCCCCTTGGTCCCTGGCAACCAGCGTTTCCCATTTCTGTGCCTATATTCACAGTCTCCTGAGCCCAAAAGACCTTCTCTTCTTCCACTGCCCCTCTGCTTACTGTTAAACTCCTCCTCCTCTATTCTTTGGCTCAAATGTCATCTTCATTTTCAGCAGCTTTTCCTGAACCATTCACCCTCAAGCCCAAAGTAGTCTCTGTTTCTCTAGCATTTTATAAATATGTCTTAAAGTACTTGTATGTTAAGACTACCAGCTCTCCAAAGGTAGGAACTATGTCTGATAATTCATCCTTGAATTCTTAATTCCACGCACAGACTTTGGTACATACTATGGGACCTCTATAAATGTTTACTAATGCCATCTTCTGTTTAAGTTCAATTCAACCGATATATTAAATTCTTATCTCAAAAGTTGGCCATTTTGAAGGCATTTTTTCTATTCTCTAGGAACTTACAGTTTTCCAGGAAAAATAAAGCCAATTATAATGTATAGAATAGATCACTGCTACAGAAGAGAAAGATGGGGGAAATCAGCATGGAGTATGGCATTTGGTGAAAATGAGAGGAGGGTGATTTTGAGTTGTGCTTTTAAGAAAATGTGTAGAGTATAGCCAGATGAGTGCCTTCTGGGTTAGGTAATAGAATGAACCAAGGTCTAGAGATAGGAAGAAAATTAGGGAATTGTGAGAGGACTTGCCTCTTGGATCGCATTGGATTGTAGGGTTCATGATGAAAATAAGGTTGAATAAACAGGAAAAAAACAAATTATAGAAAGCCCTGAATTTAACTGTTTTGAAAAGATGTTATTCCTAAAAGAAAACATAGAGGGAAAGCTTCTAGACATTGGTCTTGGCAATGATTTCCTGGATATGACGCCAAAAGCACAGGCAACAAAAGCAAAAATAGACAAGTGGGACTACATCAAACTGAAAAGCTTCTGCACAGCAAGAGGAACCATCAACAAAATGAAAAGGCAACCTACATAATAGGAGAAAATATATGAAAATCCTCCATCTGATAAGGATATTTAAGGTACTCCAACCCAACAGGAAAAAAATAATAATAATCCAATCAAAATGGGCAAAGGACCTGAATAGAATTTCTCCAAAGACAACATGTAAATGGCCAAGAGGTACATGAAAAGGTGCTCAGTATCACACATCAGGCAAATGAAATTCAAGACCCCATTGAGATATCACCTCATACATGCATGTCAGGATGGCTATTAGCAAAACACAAAAAATTAACGAGTGCTGGTGAGGATGTGAAAAGATTGGAACCCTTGTACACTTCTTGTGGGAATAGAAAATGGTGCTGAAATTACAGAAAATAATATGAAGCTTTTTCAAAAACTTAAAAATAGAACTACCATATGGTTCAGCAATCCTACTTCTGGGTATTTATCCAAAAGAGTTGAAATCAGGATCTTGGAGAGATAGCAGCACTCCCATGTTCATAGCAGCATTTTTCACCATAGCCAAGATATGGGAACAATCTTAGTGTCTATCAATGGATGGACTGGATAAAGAAAATGTGGCATACATATAATGGAATATTATTCAGACTTTAAAAAGATGGAAGTCTTGCCACACGTAACAACATGGCTAAACCTTGAGAACATTATGCTAAGTGAAATAAGCTAGCCACAGAATGATAAATCTGCATAAGTCCACTTCTATGACACATCTAATATAGATTCATGGAATCAGAGAGTAAAATGGTGATGTCAAGGGCTGGAGAGAGGGAGAGATGAGGAGTTGTTATTGAACGAGCATAAAGTTTCAGTTATACATGATTAATAAATCCTAGAGATCTGCTGTACAACAGATGTCCATAGTTAACATTGCTGTATTGTACAGTTAAAATTGTTAAGGAGGTAGATCTCACATTAAGTATTCTTACTGAAATACAAAAAAAAAGATAGAAAACAAAATTAGTTATTTTCAACTGGCATTTGGACTTTCTTCAAACTATTCCTTTAAAAATATTAAAATTATCCTATCATGGAGGTGGCATAAATTATAAAAGTCAGTCCAATAATAATTCATTAGTGATCTAAATCAGGAAGAACTGTGGACCAGTTCATATATTGGGCATCAACATGTTTTTTCAGGCCAAAAATGGGAGTTTGGATGTCTTACTGAATAACTTAATAATTGTAAGAAGAGAGTTCTGTTCTTACAGTGTTTGAATTTATTCTCTATATCAAATTCTTATTTCAGCTAAGTGAGCTTTTTATATTTTCTTTTTTAGAAAGCTTATTCTAGTAATGTGTTCAGAAATATTACCTGTAATATAGTAATGAACAGGAAGAAAGCATTAGCAGCTTTGCTAAACTGCAGATACAAATATCGAGGGAGGAATGACCACATGTTGTACTTGGCTGTGCTGTAGATAAAAAGAAAAATACCACTGTCAATTAACACTATAAACTCTAAAAACATCAAAGAAAAACCCAGAAGTGGATAAAATATTGTTGTAAAACACTGACTCTTTTCTAAAGATTTTTTTGTCATTTTTAAAAACATTCATTGTTATCTGAAAACAATGTTAGGATAAAGAAAGAATTTTCCCCATTTCAGGAACAGTAAATACAGTAGATAAGCAAGATGTATTCCACATTTTCTAATGGCCTATAATTCTTTTTTTTTTAAAAGATTTTATTCACGAAAGACCGAGAGAGAGAGAGAGAGAGAGAGAGAGACAGAGACAGAGACAGAGACAGAGACATAGGCAGAGGGAAAAGCAGGCTCCTCACAAGGAGACCAATGAGGGACTCAATCTGGGATCCCGGGATCACACCCTGAGCCGAAGGCAGATGCTCAACCACTGAGCCACACAGGTGTCCTGAGTGGCCTATAATTCTTGTAACAAAACTTCTAAGTAACATTTCTCTTATAGTTCAAGGATGGTAAGAGCCACCATTTTTTCTCCCTTCTCTCCCTCATGGGCTCTTTTTTTTTTTTAATTATTTATTTATGATAGTCACACAGAGAGAGAGAGAGGCAGAGACAAGGCAGAGACATAGGCAGAGGGAGAAGCAGGCCCCATGCACCGGGAGCCCGACGTGGGATTCGATCCCGGGTCTCCAGGATCGCGCCCTGGGCCAAAGGCAGGCGCCAAACCGCTGCGCCACCCAGGGATCCCCCTCATGGGCTCTTTATCACTAAAAGTTATCTTAAATGCCTAAGCCATGTCATGGACAAAGAAAATCATCACCAGTGTGTTTTGTGTTTTCTAATTAATCTACTATATTTTTAAATCAGAAAGACCAGGAGTTTTGGGAAGCCAGCAGAATAGGAGGATCCTGAGTTCAACTTGTCCCACAAACACACTGGGATAACTGCTCCATCCCAGAGAAGCCACACCAAAAAGGGCAGGAAGGGCAGAGTTGTAATTGGAAACCAAATTCCCTGCACAAGTAGCCACAAACAGGAGAGACAGCATAAGCCCCAAGAAGTGAGGGAGTCTGACCCTACACAGGGCACCCCCAGACCTGGGGACCCACACTGATGAGTCCCCAAAAATCTGGCTTTGAAAACCAGGAGGGCTTCAATCCAAGGGCTGTAAAACTCCGCAGACATAACCGTGGGAAAGCCAGAGAGTGAGAAAAAACTGAGTCCCGGCCCTTAAAGAGACAGTATACTAAAAAACTCAGTCCAAGACCTAACACAGAAGCATCAGTTTCAAAAGCACAGGGAGTATACAGGAAGGATATTTATTTACTAATGTTAGAAGGTATGCTGCAGGAACAGGAATCTGCATGAGAGTTTTCTGGGAATAAGAGTGCTGGAGGAGGCCATTTCTCTTTCTAGCCTAGGTAGCCAGATGTTTGTGGGAGCTAGAAATACTGTTCGTCTACCTTACTAGCATTTGGTGCCCCAACCCAGCATTCCCCTGTGAACCCACCCTATCCAGCCAGCCTGTTTCCTCAGCAGGCATCCCACCAAAACAACTCCTGCCCCACCACACTCTGCAAGCAACTCCCACAGGGAACACCAACACTTCAAAGTGACTCCTACCCTGGAGAGAGGGAGAGATAACCCCACATACTAACATACCCAGTTTCTGCAGTCGGGCCTCTTAGCTGGTTACACAGAAAGACGTACTGTACATCTGCAGCTGTGGCAAAGAGGCTATTTGCAGACAGCTAGGCTGACTTCTGGCCCCACTCACCAACAAGCCCACAGTAGCCACAGATAGGCCTCTCCACAGTGCAGGGAGCAAATCCTACCCAGTACACAAACAGAAGGAAAAGTGGGTCATTGCAGATGGCTGAATTAAGGGTAATTGAGGCCTAACCATAAGAGGAGGGTGCAAGCAGCCCAGTCAGGAGACACTCCTGGAGGATGTGGCTCTGGTGACCAAGGGAGATTGCACTATAGGGCAACTCTTCTACAGAAGGCCATTATATTTAAGTCTAGGAGACATAAGTAGCCTACCTAGTATACAAAATTAGACACAGAGAGCTAGACAAAATGGAGACAGAAGAATATGTCACAAATGAAAGAACAAGATGAAATCACAGGAAAAAAATGAAACAAAATGAAACAAAAATAATATGCCCAATAAAAAAAATTTTTCAGGGATGCCTGGGTGGCTCAGTGGTTAAGTGTCTGCCTTTGGCTCAGGGAGTGATCCCGCAGTGCTGGGATCAAGTCCAATATCAGGCTCCCCATGGGGAGCCCACTTCTCTCCCTACCTCTTTCTGTGTGTCTCTCATGAATAAATAAATAAATCTTTTTAAAAGTTTTTCAAAATAATTCTCATAAAGATATTCATGGAACCTAAGGAAAGAGTGGATGAACTCAATGAGAACTTCAACAAAGAGACAAAAAAATCTAAAAAAAACAGTGAGATATGAAGAATTCAATAACAGAAATAAATACACTAGAGGAAACAACAAGCAGATTAGAGGATGCAGAAGAACAGATTAGCAATCTCAAAGACAGGGTAATAGAAAGCAACCAAGCTGAACAGCAAAAGGAAAACCCGATAATGAAAAATGAGAATGGGTTAAGGGAACTCATGACATCATCAAGTGTAATAACATTCACTTTATAGAGATCCTAGAAGAAGAAAAAGAGAAGAGGGCAAAAAATTTATTTGAAGAAATAATAGCTGAAAATGTCTCTAATCTGAGGAAGGAAATAGACATCAAGATACAGGAAGCAGATATAGTCCCTAACAAGACGAACCCAATGATATTCACACCAAGACATATAAAATAAAATGGCAAAGAGTAATGATAAAGATAGAATTTTTTAAAAAGCAAGAGACAAGCAGAGAGTTCATACAAGGAAAACCCCCATAAAGCTATCAGGTGATTTTTCAGCAGAAACTGTAGACCAAAAGGAAATATGATATATTCAGAATACAAAACCCTGGGTGGCTCAGCAGTTTAGCACCTGCCTTCTTTGGCCCAGGGCGTGATCCTGGAGTCCTGGGATTGAGTCCCGCATCAGCCTCCCTTCATGGAGCCTGCTTCTTCCTCTGCCTGTGTCTCTGCCTCTCTCTCTCTCTCTCTCTCTCTCTCTCTCTCTCATGAATAAATAAATCTTTAAAAAAAATATATATATATATATATATATATATATAAAAGAAAGCCTACAATTAAGAATATTCTATCCAGCAAGATTACCATTCAGAATAGAAAAAGGGGTAAGGAGTTTCCCAGACAAAAGTTAAAGGAGTTCATCACCACTAAAGCAGTCCTATAGGAAATATGTAAGGAAATTCTTTAAATGGAAAGAAAAGGCCGTAATTGGAAGTATGAATATTATGAAAGGAAAAAATTTCACAGGTAAATACAAACATATAGTAGATTAATGACTTATAGTGAGTATGAAGATTAAAAGACCAAAGTAGTGGGGTGCCTGGGTGGCTCAGTTGGTTAAGTGTCAGACTTAGGCTCAGATCATGAACTCAGGGTCCTGAGATCAAGCCCTGCATCAGGCTCCCCAGTCAGGGGGAGCCTGCTTCTCCTTCTCCCTCTTCTGCTCTCTCTGTCTCTGTCTCTCTCTCTCTCTGTCTCTCAAATAAATAAAATCTTTATTAAAAAAAGACAAAAGTAGTAAGATTACCTACAAAAAAGTAGTCAAAATAAAAAGACATAAAATATGACATCATAGGCATAAAACATAGAGAGAAAAGTAAAAATGTGGTGCTTTTAGAATGTATTTGAACTTAAGCAACTATCAACTTAACATAGAGCACTATATACATAAGATGTCATATATAGGTTCCTGATGGTAACCATACATCAAAAACCTATAATAGTTACACAAAAAATAAAGAGAAAGAAATGCAAGCATAACACTAAAGGAAGCCATCACCCACAAGGAAAGAGAGTAAGAAAAGAAAGGAACAGAGAAGTACAAAAACAATCAGAAACTGACAAAATGGCAGTAAGTAAATACCTATCAACAATTAAACGTAAATGGATTAAATGCTCAAATCAAAATACATAGGGTACTGAATAGATAAAAATAAAATAAGACTTATCTATAAGCTGCTTATAAGAGACTCATTTCAGATCTGAGAACATATACAGACTGAAAGTGAAGAGAAGAAAAAATATACCAAGCAAATGGAAACCAAAATAATAATAATAATAGTAATAATAATAATAATAATAATAAAAGCTTGGGTACCAATACTTATATAAAACTAAATAGACCTTAAAACAAAGACTGTAGCAAGACACAAAGAAGGTCACTACATAATAATAAAGGGATTAATCCAACAAGAGGATAGAACAATTGTAAATATCTATGCATCCAACATAGGAGCACCTAAACACAAAAAGCAAACATTAGCAGTAATAAAGGAAGAAACTGACAGTAATACAGTTAATAGTAGGGGACTTTAACACTCCACTTATATCAATGGTTGGATGATCTAGACAGAAAATCAGCAAGGAAACAGCAGCTGTGAATGGCAGCTGCTGGACCAGGTGGACCTAACAGATATAAACAAAATATTCCATCCAAAACAGCAAAATATACATTCTTTTCAAGTACACATAGAATATTCTCTAGAATAGATCATATGCTAGGCCACATAAACAAGTCTTGATAAATTTAGAAGATTAAAATATCAAGCATCTTTTCTGACCAAAATGATAGGAAATTAGAAATCAATTACAAAAACGAAACAAAACAAAAAAACACCTGGAAAAAATACAAACACCTGGAGGCTAAATAAAGTGCACCTAAACAACCAATGAATCAATGAAGAAATCAAAACATGCATGGATACAAATGCAATTGAAAACACAATGATCCAAAAATCTTTGGAACAAAGTAAAACCAGTTCTAAGAAGGAAGTTTATAGTGATATAGATCTACTTCACAAAATTAAAAAAAAAAAAGAAATCCCAAATAAACAACCTTACACTTAACAGAGCTAGAAAAAGAAGAATGAATAAAGCCCAAAGCTAGTAGAAGGAAAGAGACAATAAAGATTAGAGTGAAAAATAAATAAAATGAGACTAAAACATTAGAAAAAGATAAATGAAACCAAGAACTGATTCTTTAAAAAGATAAAATTGATAAATGCTTACCAGAGTCATCAAGGAAAAAAATGACTCAAGTAAATAAAATCAGAAATGAAGGAGGAGAAATAACCAACGCCACAGAAATAAAAGGATTATAAGATAATATCATGAAAAATTATATGCCGGGATCCCTGGGTGGCTCAGCGGTTTGGCGCCTGCCTTTGGCCCAGGGCGCGGTCCTGGAGTCCCGGGTTCGAGTCCCGCATCGGGCTCCCGGCATGGAGCATGCTTCTCCCTCTGCCTGTGTCTCTTGCCTCTCTCTCTCTCTCTCTCTCTCTCTCTCTCTCTCTCTGTGTGTCTATCATAAATAATAAATAAATAAATAAATAAATAAATAAATAAATCTTTAAAAAAAGATTATATGCCAAAAACTAGACAACCTAGAAGAAATGGATAAATTCCTAGAAATATATAACCTTCCAAAATTGAAGCAGGAAGAAATAGAAAATTTGAACACACAGATTGCTAGTATTAAAGTTGAATTGGTAACCAAAAAACTCCAAAGAAACAAAAGTCCAGGGCCAGATAGCTTCACAGGTGAATTCTGCCAAACTTTTGAAAAAAGTTAATACATTGTATTCTCAAACTATTCCAAGAAATAGAAAAAGGAAAACTTCCAATTTCATTCTACAAGGCCAACATTACCCTAAAGCTAAAACCAGGCAAACATTGCTAAAAAAGAAAATGACAGACCAATATCCCTGATGAGAATAGATTCACAAATCCTCAACAAAGTATTACCAAACTGAATCCAACAATACATTAAAAGAATCATTCACCATGATCAAGTAAGATTTATTCTAGAGAAACAACTGTGGTTCAATATTTGCAAATCAGTATGATACATCACATTCATAAGTAAAAGGATAAAAACCATATGATCATCCCAACAGATGCAGAAAAAGCAGTTGACAAAATATAATATCCATTCTTGATAAAAAAAAAACGCTAAATAAAATAGGTTTAGAGGAAACATACCTCAACATACTAAAGGTTTTATATGAAAAACCCACAGCTAACATATTCAACAGTGAAAAACTGACAGCTTTCCCTCTAAGATGAAGAACAAGAAAAGCTGTCCATTCTCATGAATTTTATTCAAAATAGTACTGCAAGTCTTAGTCACAGCAATCAGACAAAAAAAGAAAAAAAAGAAAAGGCATACAAATTGGTAAGGAAAAAGTAAAGCTGTCACTATTAGCAGATGACATACCATATATGAAAAACCTCTTAAAGCTCCACTCTTAAAGCCCATTACTAGAATTGAGAAATGAATTTAGTAAAGTTGCAGAATACACAATTAACATATAGAAATCTGTTATTTCTACACACTAATAACAGAGTTACAGAAAGAGAAGTCAAGAAAAAAATCCCAGTTACAACTGCACTGAAAATAATTAAATACCTGGGAATAAACTTAACCAAGGAGGTGAAAGAGCTTACTCTGAACACTATAAAACACTGATGAAAGAAACTGAAACAAATGGCAAGATATTTCATGTTTATGGATTGGAAGAATCAATATTTTTTAAATGTCCCTACTACCCAAAGTAATTTACAGATTTAGTACAACCCCTATCAAAATACCAACATTTTCCACAGAACTAGAACAAATAGTTTTTAGATTTGTATGAAGCCACCGCAAAAGATCCCAAATAGCCAAAGCAATCTTGAGAAAGAAGAACAAAGCTAGACATGTCACGGTCCCAGATTTCAAGATTTACAATAAAGCTATAGTAATCAAAACAGTATGATACTAGCACAAAAACAGATTAAAGAACATAACAGAGAGCCCAGAAATAAATTCACACTTAATTGGTCATTTAATCTATGACATAGGAGGCAAGAATACACCATGGGAAAAAGACAGTTCCTTTAGTAAATGGTACTGGGTAAACTGGACAGCTAGCTAAATGCAAAAGAATGGAACTGAGCCACTTTCTTACACCATACACAAAAATAAACTCAAAATTGATTAAAGATGTAAGCCTGAGACCCGAAATCATAAAACTCCTGAAAGAACACATAAGCAGTAATTTCTTTGGCACTGGATGTAGAAACATCTTTCTAGAAATGTCTTCTCTAGCAAGAGAAACAAAAGTAAAATTAAAGTATCAGGACTACACCAAAATAACAAGCTTTTGCACAGTGAGGGAAACCATAAACAAAACAAATAGGCACCCCACTGAATGGGAGAAGGTATTTGCAAGTGACATATCCAATAAGAAGTTAACATCCAGAATATATAATAGGTTTATTTTTTTAATTTTTATTTATTTATGATAGTCACAGAGAGAGAGAGAGAGAGAGAGAGGCAGAGACATAGGCAGAGGGAGAAGCAGGCTCCATGCACCGGGAGCCCGACGTGGGATTCGATCTCAGGTCTCCAGGATTGGGCCCTGGGCCAAAGGCAGGTGCCAAACCGCTGCACCACCCAGGGATCCCACATCCAGAATATATAAAGAACTTATTCAACTTAACACCTCCCCCAAATTAATCTGATTAAAAATAGGCAGAGGACCTAAATAGACACTTTTCCAAAGAAAACATACAGACGGCCAACAGACACATGAAAAGTGCTCAACATCACTCATCATCAGGGAAATGCAAATTAAAGCCACAATGAAATACCACTTTACACCTGTCAGAATAGCTAAAATAAAAAACACAAGAAATAACAAAAATGTGGAGAAAAAAGAACCCGGGTACCCAGTTGGTAGAAATGCAGATTGGTGCAGCCACTATGGAAAACAGCATGGAGGTTCCTTGAAAAATTAAAAATACAAATACCATATGATCTAGTAATTCACTACTGGATATTTATCCAAAGAAAGCAAAAACACAAATACACAAAGATATATGCACCCCTATATTTACTGCAGCATTATTTATAATAGTCAAGATATAGAAGCAAGCCAAGTGTCCATCCACAGTTGAATGGGTAAAGATGTGGTGTATAAATACAACAGATTATTACACAGTCATAAAAAAGAATAAAATCTTGCCATTTGCAAAAGCATGGATAGACCTAGAGGGTATAATGCTAAGTAAAATAAGTCAGTCAAAGAAAGACAAATACTATATGATTGTAGTCACATAGGGATTTAAGAAACAAAGAAGAAAAGAGACAAACAGACTCAAATACAGAGAATGAACTGGTGGCTATCAGAGAGGCACGAGTGGGGGGACAGGTGAAATAGGTAAAGAGGATTAAGAGTTACAGTTATCTTGATGAGCACTGAAAAATGTATAGAACTGTTGAATCATCACATTTTAATTCTGAAATTAATATAACACAGTTTTATTTATACTTCAATTTTAAAAAAGCCTAATGCTCAATTCTCCAAAATAGGATATTGGTGGGGAGCTCAGCAGATCTGTGAGGTTCCACTGGAAAGCACTTTCCCTCATAGGTAGGTATTACTAAACAAAGCTCTCAAATGGCAGAGGGCTGCATAATATCGCTATCAGCAGGAACCAGTGAGAGGAGAAACCAACTCAGAGACAGAAACCTTGAAGGTGAGGTGAAAACACAGCCTATTCTTGGTAGTGAACTTGAGAATTCAGTTTCTCAAGGTTTGAGACAATTATTATAGCCTGAAACATCCACATCCACAAGTGTTTTTTGCAAGTGAGGACCACATCTTCTTCCTCCTTCCTCTCCTCCCAGCTACACACACTTCTCACCTGATCGAGTTTTTGCAGAAATTGTTCTTAAGGGGTTCATTGAGGTAAATGGTGCGGGCTTTGGACACTTCTGATCCTTGCAGAGACTTTTGCCAGCCCATCTTTTCCTCCACCTTCTGACAGCCCACAGAGAAATCAGCAGGTCCTGCATCAAGAAGGCACAGGGATGTTACACAGAAATGCAAATGAAGCTAGGCTCCAGGGAAAGTAGGAAATGCACTGTGTGTTCTGGTTCAGCACTTTAGTCTCTGTGAGTCCCCTGGAGTCAGATTGCTTCCTAGCCCCAGGCCCTCATCTGCCGGATCCACTTCTCCAGAAACCACACACCCTAGGCCTCCACTGCCACCCTGCATTGGAGGGGCAGTTCCAGTTCCTTCATAGTTCCCACAACCCCACTCTCCCCAGCCCCAGAGGCTCTGGGTAGGCACGGACATTCTACCCCAGGAGGAGACAGTGGACCAAACAGTGATATAGGTCCCAGCAGCTGGGTTCAGAAAGAAGAGAGAGGAGGGGAGAAACTAGAGAGGGCTGGGGGAGGGGAGGGGCTGGGAAGAGTGTCTTGGCTGAAGAGCAATAGTTCCCTGACCAGAGAGCAGCCCCCTGGCCATGATGGCCTTAACATTCCCCTCACTTTGACTAAATTTTAAACAGAGGTCTTAACTATAGACCCTTAAATTCCCTACTTTTTTCTAACATAAAACATTTACTTTAGAAAACATAATTGTAAATTTTTACTCTACTCTCTTTGGAATGTATATAAACATCCTTAAAAGCCCCTTGCCAGCTTTAAGATCCAGGGAATGCCTTTCTCAAGGACCTGGGATATATCTGAAATGTAATCATCAAAGATCTCCATGGTAAGGTGGGAGCCTAACTTCAGGGGGTGCCTTGCTCTAAGTGTAAAACCCCCTCCTGTCATGAAGATAAGAGAAAATGTACTTATTCTTTGGGTGAAGTCAGTTATCAGACACAAGGGGCCAATGACAATCCCCATCTTCCCCACCCCATCTCTTATAAATTCTCCCATCTTTTGTTTCAGCTGAGGTGAATTCATTTTCTCTCCCCTATTGCAATAGGCTTGAATAAAGTCTTCCTTGTCTGGTTAACTTTGCCCAGGCAATGTTTACTTTGATATCTCTTAAGACAAAATTGAATGAGATTTTTGGCCAAGGGGCCAAGGAAAGTCTCATTTGTTTTTGATGAGAAATAGAGGCTAGTATGTCCTCAACAGTAAGAAGCATCTTTGTGCTAGAGTCCATGTGCTCAAATTTCCTCAGATCCTTCAGTAAAAGAACTTTCTGACCATTATTGTATGTTTAGCTTAGCTATTTCTCTTCAAGCATCTCCCTAACAACACATCCATGTGTGAGGGTGAAGAAACAAAAGGTGAGTGATAGTTAACTAAGGAGATGCTGATGCATATAATGCTCAAATCACCTCACTAAAGACCTAGAATCTTCAAGGCTATCTGCTGACTTGCTACCTGAGAGAAGGATGCTGGTGGCCAAGTATCCTAGTTGAAAGGCCTAAGCTGATGTCCCAGCTCAAATACTCAGTGCTTTCTGCCACACTAACATGTCTCTTCAGCAAATAACTGGTCTGTTAGAGTGGCCCCTTTAAATTTAGTAACAGTAAAAAATGAGCCAGCATAGAATCTATGAAAAAATAATGCTGCCATTTGCCCAAAAAATTACAAAGTATAAGGAACAAAAGACAAAGGAAATTCTTGTTTGCACATCAAAAGAATTCTTCCAAAACTCACAGAAAATGCATTTCCTGTAAAAGATATTAAATATGTCCATTATTAAACAAGAGGTCAAAAAAAGAAATACAAAATTATTTTTTAAAGTGATAATGAAACTGCAGAAGAATTTTTAACGTGACCTGAAAGAGCTCAAAGAGAAATGAAAGAGAAATATCTTAAGAAAAAAGAAAGCCACATTAGAAGCAACTACAATAACAAACAGCTGGAAAGAGGGATGTCCTGCCCAGACCACAGAAAACTAAGCAAAATGAAATGAAAAAGAGCACAGAAGATAAAGAACTGAAGAGAAATTATAGATGTGGGACAACGGATATCCAATGTATGCATATCCTTAAACAAGAAATAAAAAATAAAACAAAAATATTGGTGAAATAGACCTTTCTTTAATGAGAACATGACTAAGAAAGATCTGACACAAAATAAATGCCAAGACACTTCTTGGCAAAGTTTATTAGACTTTAAGCATAATGAAAAAAATCAGTATAAGACAAATCAAATCATTTATGAAGGTTGGAGAGAGAGGGAATATTGGGGCCATACTCAGACATCACCATTGAAACATTCAAGCTAGAAGCAGGAGACTCAGATATCCTGTCAATAAATGAATGAAAAGCTGATAAACAAGATGTAGAAACCAGTGATTTATTTATATTTATAAACAAGGCTTTAGATAATGGTACGCCATCCTATTGTGACCAAACTTTCTGTTGAAACAGCTTCAAATGCTGACTTTAAAGGATGAAGAAAAGCTTTTTAAATTCATTAGGCAAGATAGTAGTTATTATCAAGTCAAATTTTAGCACCGCCTTCAGCCCAGTGTGTGATCCTGGGGACCCGGAATTGAGTCCCGAGTCAGGCTCCCTGCATGGAGTCTGCTTCTCCCTCTGCCTGTGTCTCTGCCTCTCTCTTTCTCTCTCTCTCTCTCTCTCTCTCTCTCTCTCTCTCTCTGTCTCCCTCTCCACCACCCGCCTCCCTGCTCATATTCTCTCTCTCTCTCTCTCTCTCTCTCTCTCTCTTTCTCCCTCTCTCAAATAAATAAATAAAATAAAATAACACATTTCAGATAGGCTAAATGTCTAAGTATGAAAAGTAAAATTTCAAATATTCAAAAGAAAATATTAATTAAATCAGTGTGATATCAAGGTATGGAAAAGATTACTTCAAAAAGGTTCAAAACCACAAATCATAAAGGAAAATACTAATTAATCTGACTTACCTCATGAAAACAAAGAACCTTTGGTACATTAAAAAGTGAAACAGAATTTAAAAACAAACTACATACCTCCAGAATATATTTTAATGTATATAACTGACACAGGTTTTCTACCCAGATGATTTAAAGAATTCCTACAAATCAATAAAAAATATAAAAACATGATCAATATACAAATTGGTGATTAACTTATAGAAAGAAAAAAGCAAAATGGCCTATCAATACATGAAAATATGCTCAAGTTCAATCAAGCTAAAGCTAAAAACTAAAGAGTATGACAAAGCCAAGGCTGGTGAGGACATGGGAATTAGAAACTAGTAGAGGACAGGTGGGAGTACAAATTAATTCAACCATTTTGGAGTCTAAGTTAGCTTCAGTGTCCCACAATCCAGTACAGTAGTCATTCCTCATCCATGGGTGATATATTCCAAGACCCGCAGTCAATGCCTGGAACCACAGAGAGTACTGAGCCTTATAAACACTATGTTATTTCCTATACCTACACATTTATGATGAAGTTTAATATATATAATGGTATTAGTCATGCTAAGAGAACAACAGCAATAATAATAAAATAGACCAATTATAACAATATACTGTAACAGAAGTTATGTGAATGTGGTTGCTTTCTCTCTCAAAATATCTGACAGTATTGTAATTCACCCTCTTGTGATGATGTGAGATGATGAAATGCCTGTGTGAGAAGACAAAGTGTAGTGAATGATGTGGACATTGTGAGCTAGTGTTAGGCTACTATTGGCCTTCTGACCATATGCCAGAAGGAGGATCATCTGCTTCTGGACCGTGAGTGACCCTCCGGGGTGATTGAGACTGTGGAGAGCAAAACCGTGGTTAATAGTGGACTACTGTACTTCTGCTTCTAATTATAGCTTTTAAAAAAATCTCATACATGTATACAAGGAGGTGTGAACAAGAATGTGCATTTCTACTGTTTGTAACCATGAAAAAAAAAGGAAAAACCTAAATACTTATCAGTAGAGGAACAATTAAATAAAACCCATCTTAATCATATGATGAAATATTGTGGAGACATTTAAAAGAGTAACTATGTCCTGGAGACCCGGGATCGAATCCCACGTCGGGCTCCCGGTGCATGGAGCCTGCTTCTCCCTCTGCCTGTGTCTCTGCCTCTCTCTCTCTCTCTGTGTGTGTGTGACTATCATAAATAAATAAAAATTAAAAAAAATAAAAATAAAAAAAATACAAGAGTGACTATGGCTAGATGATCAATATGATAGATTCTTAGATAGAAATCTAAGAATGATGTGAAAACGATTAAATCATTTATGTAAACTTTTCAGAAACATAACTACAATATTGTATCTTGCTTATGGCTCTATATTTGTAAATGTAAATGTATTATAAATGTATGTATATAAATGCATTTTTAAGCCACTGAAATCATACACAACATAGAATAATAATTGCCTGGAGCAGAGGCAGAGGGAAGAGAACAGGAGGACTGAGCCTTGAGATAATGGTTAAAGGTGATTTTTGCTTTGCCTTATCTCCAATGATTTCTTTAAAAATTTAAATTTAAATTTAAAAACAAAAATTACTATATATATAAGTTTGTTTATATACTATATATAGTTATACAGTATATACTATGTATAGTTATATAATATATATATGATATAAATATATAGGATTATTTTGTGTGGTGAAAATACGCGTTTGTTGAATTTCATTCACGTGCATTGACATACATCACACAGCCTGACTGCATTGGCATCTGCCAAACAGTGACAGTCCAAACCACTAGAGTGTTTTTAAGCAATAAGTAAACGACATATGAATTTATCATCTCAGTTTACTGCCTCTCTGGCCATTTAGGGTATGGGACACTGATTCTAGTTTCTTGACACCTGTTCCACAAAATTTCAAGGGCAAGACCCTAGAATGAAAGGGAAGGACAGCTCCCTGGGTGAGCCTGGGACATCCGAGAATGGACCTGAGTTCAGTTACTGGAACAGTTGCACAGCTGCTGCTTAAAGGGGCCACACCCTGAAATAGAGGGCTTCCTAGTTACTCACCAGTCAGGCTGGCGACACCACCTTTGACTGGAAAACTGGCCTTTTAGGGTTAATATCCTGAATGTCTTCACTTAGCACCAACAGCCCTAATCCTGACGGACCTGGCCCCGGTCTTGGCCCGGAATGAGCTGTAACCTTCCCAGCTTGCCTCTGGAAATTCTGACAGTTGGCTCAGCACTGCCCTTGCACGGTGCTCCTGAGACAGAGCTGAGCTGCAGCACTTCTTGTCCTTCTGACTCACCAAGGCTGCTAAGTATGAGTAGAGGGAGAGATGAGCTATGGTATGTGAATGCAATAGAATATACACCAGTCAGAAGCATATTCTAGAAAGTAACATGAATAGGTCCTGAAGACCTAACATTTTATAAAAGTTAGGAGAATGAGATTCATAGCACAATA